ACTATTCTTATGCAAATTCTTCATTTGGGATAAATTCTTCATTTGATGATATCTGTTGAGCGAAGCTCGCCTTGTACATATTGAGAAATAAAGTTCAGTATTCTTATGCAATGACAATTGCGAATTGAACTGATTTTACCGTCTGGCTCGGGCCTGGGTGTGCAGGTCCAGATCTTGCAGGATCTCGGTCAACACTGTCAGCGGCAGGTGGCATAAACAAGCGCTCGCACAAGTACAGCTGGCAGTGGCAGTGCCGACGTTCGCGTTTCTCTCGCCATCAGTATCACTGCTCGGGCATCGTCCAGTTCCTACAAAATACAACGGACGATTAACCGAATGACAGACATCTTGAACAAATCTGACCGGCAACGTTGACAAACCACTTGCAAGATGTATATTTGTATGGCTCAGTCGCATGCACGCGTATCTGTACGCACCCTCGATACTTTTATGGATGGTTTGACAAGTTTGGTCCGTGTGCAGTGTGGACCGGCTGGCGTTCGCGCTGGCCATGGCGCGGGACGTTGCATGCTGCTCCAATATCTTCCGCAATAATCCCGCTGTCCAGTCCATGGCTGCGGTGTCGTTCTGGCTGCCCACGACAATAAACGTGCAACGAGCCGTGCCGATGCGCAGGTGGAAACGACAGCTGTCCTCCCGGGCAGCCATCGCCGGATACGCACGGTACACTTGCCGGAAAGTGTCGATAAAATGGCAGGCGTCCGTTATTCTGACAAACATGGGCACAGGCACCGCTGACAATGATTCGCTCGGCCCGGACCCGGACCCGGCCAGGAGGATCTCGTGCTGTGTGTAGAGCAGGCCGCTGGTCCTGGTCAGCAGCGGCGGTTGGTCCAAGGGCAGCCGGCTCAGCAGCTGGCACCGGTCGACCGCGGCAAGATCCCACGCTGTCCAATATCCGTTGTCAGACTCAGCACTATCTATACCAGACGCCGTCGCTTCCAGTTCGTCACCTGCCGCTGCCGGTCCAGTCATTGGCCAGTCAGCGTCTGCATCGGTGCTGACGAAGTACATTCGGCATCCGCAGTGGTCAGCGAAATGCAGCACCGTGGCCGGCCGGAAGCGGAAGGGGCCGTCGTGGTGGTCGCGGAGGGCCACCCATACCGACGGGCCGCAACACTGGGGGTACAGCTCGTGGTAAACTGCCGGGGCCGAGGGAGCGCAACAGCCGGGGTAGCCCGGTGCGTGCAAGGGGAACGCTTGCGGCCAGACGCGCGACGCGTGGATGTAGCGGGCCGGGGTGGTGGCCGAGTCGAAGTCCACCAGCACCTCGTCTCCGCGCAGGTCCTGGATGTATCCCAGCCAGCACTCCTCCCGCTCCGGATCCATCCGCACCACCACAGTGTTCTGGTAGTTGAGGGACGCGCTGCTAACGCGAAGCCGGCGAAATGCCGGCAACACTAGTGTGGCATCCATTTACTTATAACTGCAGGCAAGCGGCCTACAAATTGCCAATACAGTATCAGACCGTCATGAATTAAACACGCCTTCAATAAGTATCATGTCATAAGTACAAACGTAGTACTAGAAAACATTAATTTATAACAGAAACACTTGAATTAAATACGAGTACTCGGTCTACTTTGATAATAAAATTAATACTACTGGGGATTCTTATTATCGCTATACATATAATATTTTAACTACTTTATCTGCAGCATTTTAAATTAATTCCGAAAGTTATCAAATTATGCTGTGGTCCTGTGGAGCAAAAATCTTGACGACCTATTCTTGATTTTTAACAGCTTAAATGTTTACAGTTTTCTTCGAGTCTATTTGCCTTAACTGCTGAAAAGCCTAGTGCGTCGAGTACAGTACTTCCAAGCTAAACACTGCAGACGACTTGGGTGGCCATGATAACATAATTCATATAATTATATACATTCATTACAACATTTGGGAGCACTAGTTCACTTTCAGTCACAATCTCAAGCTATTAAGCATAAGAAGAGAAACACGGCCCGACTCCAAGCATTGATTTGAACTGAATTGAACTGCACAGTTAGTGAAGCGTTGATTGGTATAAATGACCCAATCAAATGAGTGTGGGCTACACCAGATCCACCTATTCATAAGGCGCGTTATGGTGGTCCTGGAAACGAAAGCAGACATTTCGGAATTTGCGATAAGCAAGCGGCCAGTACCCATGCTATAGATAGCATGACTTCAAGGCACCGCGTCCTGCGTCTGAAAGGGATGCTTGCCTCTTTCGCCTTGCGAAAAACTGCACGCGCAATGGACCGACCACGGGCAGACACAGGGCAGACCAATTTCTCCCTCCTCCTATGTCTCCTCCATTGTTTTGCATCGCGTATGCGCATGACCACTACCGGACTCCGCATAGTCACTTTTGTGAGTCGGGCCCGTGCCTGTGGGAGCAGGCCATGTCTTAGAGAGCAGCGTCTTAATTACTTTTTAATTACTTTTTATGGCCCCTGCGCCCGGCTTGTGCGCCTGCTCTCTTGATCGGCGGCTTATCGCAAATCAGGTATTGCACATTTCCAGTTATCACTACTTTACGTTTACGCATTCAAGTTTCCAGTAGGTGGCAGTTCGATGCGCGGCCACCTTGTTCTTAATGTCCTTCATGAGCTGGATCTGTTCCTGGCTGAGCGCCAGACTCAGCCCCATCCCGCTGCCCTGGCCGCTGACGAGGCTGTTGAACTTCTCCACCGGCATGTTGACGATCTCCTCCGCCGACACCGGCAGGCCCAGCTCCGAGGCCGCGCGGTCGTCGCGGTTCGGCCGGCTGCGCAGCTCCCCCGTGATCGACACCGAGCCGCCGCGGCTGCGCCCCTGCGTTGAGCCGCAGCTCTCGGCCGCGCTGGCGCTCCCCATCTCCTCACTGCTTTCCCGACTCTGCACAAAACACACACAATTATACAGCATCAACTAATAACAACATCTTTCTCGTTATTCAGTTGCAGCAACACATCTTCATTCACATTCACCGGCAACGCGTACTCATATATGTGGCGTGAGGCACTGCACTATGACAGCTTTATCTGGAAGGCGGTTCAAGTGCAGTCAAATGCTTCCGAAACTGAGTGGACCGTTTCTCCCTTGTTCTCCCAAAAGCATTTTACCGAGTGTAGACATCTTACATTTCGATTCTGCACCCCACACACCCATTGCTTCAAAAACCAAAAACGAAACTGAAGCACAAAGCACCGAAATTAAAATTTCGAGCACATATCCGTGCTTCGCCTCCGGGTATAAGTCAATATTTATTAGACGCGTAGGACGTATATATTGTATTGCACAGTTCTCAAAAGAAGTCGCAGGCCGTGCGCTGGTCACGGCTGGTGGTAATTTGCATGCTGGACGTCAAAGATCTCTGCGATTCCCAGAATGCCAGTTTGCTGAGTTGCCGCAGATCCACACTCTTCGGATCAACATCGTGGGAGTCTACATACTGATACATACGGTACTTGCTGATTGGCAAATGCCAGCTGAAAACGCTTTCATAACGTCAATCGACACACCGAATGGAGAATTACTAGTACAAAGATGCAAGTAAGCGAAAGTTCGTGCACGGAAGGGTACTTGCCCGAAATGACTGCCAAGAGTGCCTTGTATCCTCATCGACACGCTTCCGCAGATTTACTTACGAATGCGCTGATTGAAATGACAAATTTTAAACATTAAGAAAACATCCGGAATCACTGCTGCCGCTGGAGATTATAGGGCGTGCGTCCACTGTGTCCAAAACCGCCGTTGACAACGGCTACTACACTTCAAAAGGCCGCAAACCGAGATTCCCCGCTAGGCGCTTACTACCTGTGGAGATTTCTTTATGAATCGGTTTAATTTAGCGTTGTTTTTGATTTCAAGATCTGGGCGGTGCTAAGGATGGTAATATCCAATATCCAAAAGTGTTTATGGATATTGGATATTTAAAGTCATTTACCATTGGTAATTTTGACCGAGATCCTGGAAGGTGATGTACATTGACACACACAAACCCCGGGGCCAGCCAGACGGTAAATGCCTTGTAATATGATCGTTGCGTATATGTAATCATGGTCTGGCCTAATAGCGGTAGGCCGTAGTCATGGAATTGTCCTGGGGGGGGGGTGGGACCTTTAATAAGTATAACATGAGGGTACAAACTATGTACTAAAAAAGGACAGGTGTGATGAAGCGTACGAGACAGCGGCAACTACAGCTCCTTAGGGGTGAACTGCCATTCACGCACACCGATGTTAGGGGACCAGTTGTCTGCCGTGAACATTTTCTCAGACTCACTGGCGTAAGAACCAACACGTGCGAGCACACTATTCTTACGACCCTTTTTAGCAGAATAAATGGAGACAAATCTAACAGAGATCCCAATGGATTCCATTGTTGCCTTCAGATCCTTGCTGTAGTCATCAGGAGTCTGGTGTTCAGTGTATTGTACACAGGAATTGTCCTGTGAACTTCGTCATTCGTGCAACAGTAATTAATACCGGTAATTACCAATTAGGTAGCCCTTTTTTAATTTAAAAGTGCAGGTACTGCCCAGTGCCAACGTTCATGGTCAGCTAGCAACGAAGTTGAAATTCACTGGCGTTATACTGTACAATGTCAATTATCGCTACGTCAGGGAAAAATAGGATTGCGATGAAAGATCATCCCGTTCGAAAATTTCCTTATATGGACGTTGAAAATGTCGAATTCAAGTTCTACTATTTTCAAGGTCATCTTGAAAGCTTTACCGAAGCCAGCAAAACCGGAACCGGCATCAGTGGCACGGGCTAAAAATATTTTTTTACTAAATAAATTGCACGTGACACAGTTTCTGAACATGTAAATCTGACAGTATATTATTTTTTCAGAAAGTTATAGTTTTCTTTCCGATTTCGATGTCCCATGTTTTTTTGAAGTTATGTTATAAAAGATCTTGTTGCTTGTCGCTTGATAAAGTAATCTATGAGGCACTGTTACTGCTGGTGGTGCCCAGTGTATGTTTCGACAGTAAACATCTCATAGATTGCCCACAGTGCAAGTCTGCTTAGTTCGCCGAGATGCACACTTCTCAAGTCGACGTGGTCCCACGCGTGCGGACTGCCATCCGAATGGAACCCGCTGAACCTGCAGGCACAGCAACAATATTATTGCAACACTCGACCTACTTGTAGACGCAACAACGTTTAAATCTGAATCATTTTAAGTAGTATTACGCGAATGCACTTTTTGTTAAATAGATGACCTTTGCCAGTACGCGTACTAGAATTACAAAAACACATGTGCAGCTGATGAGACGGTGCACCGGTGCAGGTTAGACGACAATGGCTGATGACGTACATGTTGAGGAAGTAGCGGATGGGCTGCCATTCCTGCGGGTACTGCAGTGTCTGGCACCAGCGAGCGCGCACAGCCGCCACTTTGGCAAGAACGTCGGCAGTGGCCGGCGGCAACGCCCGGTCCTTGACCACATCAGGCGCCGCCGGACCGGCTCCCAGCCGTCGCGGCACTCCAGGACCAGGCGGGCAATGTCGACCAGTGTCACATCCAACACCGACTGCACACGCACAGCATCGCGTGGCGATGCTCGATCGAAGAAGCGCTGTTCTCTAAATGGCAAGGAAGGGAAGGCCCGGCCTTGCGAGCGCATTTCCTCATAAAGGTCACCCCGCACTTGCCACCCCTCCAGGACCAGTCGTGCACAGTGCGGCTGGAGGGCCTGCAGGGAGGTCGGTACCGCTGTGCACCGTTGGCGGAAGGACTTGAGCAGGAGGAACGGCAGCTGGATGGCCATGATGGCAAATAAATCCACCACCCAGTTGGCGATGTGCCACTCAAAGTACAGATCCGCCTCCCAGTCCCGGCGTGCGGTGATGGTGACGCTCTTCGTGGCGGGACTGATTGTCCGGCACAAGACCATGGCGATGTGGCAGCAGTTATGGTCGCCGCACTGCGTGCTGGTCAAGTTCTCTGTTAAGATGCTGATGTGGTGCGTTGCGCGGTCGCCCGACAGTATCACTTGCCACAAGGCACACACTCTGTACAGAATAGACAAAATAACTTTACCTGCTCAAATAAATACGCTGCGGTACACGTACTAATACGTAATAGTAACCAGAACGCACTGTAGTATATAATTACGGACACTATCATCAAGAAATTACAATTGCGAATTGAATTAATTTTACCGTCTGGCGCGGGCCTGAGTGTGCAGGTCCAATTCTTGCAGGATCTCGGTCAACACTATCAGCGGCAGATGGCATAAACGAGCGCTTGCACAAGTCCAGCTGCCAGTGGCAGTGTCATTGCCGGTATTCCCGTTGCTCTCGCCATTAATATCTCTGGGCACGCATCCTTCAATTCCTTCAAAATACAACGAACGATTAACCGTACCTTGAACAAATCTGGCCGGCAACGTTGAACAACCGCTTCCAATAAGAGCTGTCGCAGATTTAATTTTTTCCAGTTTTCTTATGTTCTGGTTCTTATGAATTCGAGGTGTCTAGAAAGTAAGAATAAGTATGTACGTACCGTATGTACGCGTACGAGTGCGTACTACGATAATATTATAATTTTTATTAAGAATGTAATTATTACTATTATAAATAAGTTTATTTATAATAATATTATAATAATTTATGTTAATACCTCTTTAGTCGCCATGAGTATACTAACGCGCTATGCGCAGATTGCGCGTATTACATACGTGTTATGACGTACGTGTTGTCTGTTCTGTTACGTACGAATTACGATTGCTGTTCTTGTCTAACGCATTTGATCGCTAATTCCATCCACGATTCTGGTTTAACTAATCAGTCTGAAGTTTCTAACTTCAACCAAATCTGTGAGCTTGTTTCTAGCTGAAAGGTCGTGTGACTTCAGGTTAGAAGGAAGTTCATTCGTTCTGTTCTTTTTGCGTTGTGCGTTCGGTTTGGTGATTAAACATTTGGGAAGTTCCACAGTGTTTCGGTTTCGGTAACTTTCGTTAGACACGGCAATCCGCTTGTACCTAGCGGAAGTACCACTTACGGAGTCCAGAGCACAAACCCACTCTGTTGTCGCGGTGCGACTTCCGCATAGCATGTCAATACTTACATTATATGACGGTATATCTATTCAACTTATTTGCACCAAGCGCGAAGCGCGAGATGCTGCAATAAGTCTTCGTCAACAGCATAAAATTTTTCTGAAACCACGAAGAGCGTACGTCACGCTTTTCCAATTCTACAATCCCAATACCATTTCCCAGTGGTGTTGGCGCTCGCGCTCGTGCAATAATGTGGTTCGCAACCACCGCTAGAAGTACAGAATTACAGTACAGTTGTGCACCCATCCGAACGTCCGATCGCCGTCCGGATGGGTGCACAACCTTTGCCTGGAAGCGTGGTATGTGCCTGGCGTGGGACGCGACGTGCGTGGATACCGTTGCGATGTCTTACCTGCAATCCACGTCAGTTACCGCTGGAGCTGCTGCTGCGGAGGCCGAAGATAAAAAATTACGACTGTACTCTTATTTGGAGGGTAGATATGTCTTCTCTCCACTAGGTTTCGAAACTCTTGGGCCATGGGGGAAGCTAGCCATACTCTTAGTAAAAGAAATCGGCAAACGACTTCAACTACACACGGGTGAACCTCGCTCCCATGAATTTCTCCGTCAACGGTTGTCACTAGAAATTCAGCGGGGCAACGCCGCTTCAGTATTCGGAACAGTGGATGGAGCGGCAGCTTTAAATGAAATTTTGTTGTTGTGATTACTGTTTCTTTTCAATCTTTATGTATACGCGTTTATGAAATAAAAGTACAGAATAGATAAGAAGTACTGTACTCACTCACTCACACACTGTACAGAGTACTATACTTTTTCGTACAGTGAGGCGCGATCGCATGCGATTAGCATGTTGATCCAGAAGGGTCAAGCTTGGAAAATATTACGTACGTTCGCGAAGGTCAAAGCAATTAACCTTCAAATCTCACGTTTAATGGGCAATAGCCACCACGGTAACAATGAGTGCGAGCGCCGGTACACTACTTAATAGTTAACCTTTAAATTAAATCAGAATTGTGTTGTCTTGAGTACTTAGTTAGTACTTAGGAGTGGTCATATTAAAGGTTCCAACTCTATTAACCTGTTATTGTTTCCAAAAACTATTCGATGAGCATACAACTCACTGTAGACGTCACGGAACAATTTCCCATACTTGGTTTGGATGATTTATCATGATTATTACACAAAATGAGTAATACTTACCGGAAAATAAAAACTTTATTAGAATACCACACATTTTATCCTACTAGGTGATATATAAGTCTCATATTTTGGTCAATATGCGCTGATTTGAACTTTACTGGTAAGCATAAATTGTGATCGGAATGTTGGTTATGGTTCAGACTGCAGACGCACGTATATGTACGCAGTACGCGCTACGCACCCTCGATTTGGATGGTGTGACAAGTGTGGTCCGTGGGAAGTACGGACCGGCTGGCCTCGGTCGGTGACGCTGCATACTGCTCCAGTATCTGCAGCAATAATCCTGCTGTCCAGTTCACGGCAGCGGTGTCGTTAACGTTCTGGCCGCCAACGACAATAAGCGTACAGCGATGCGTGGCGATATCGATGCGCAGGTGGAAACGGCACTTGCACATGTCCTCCCCGGCAAACATCGAAGGATACGCTGCACGGATCACTTGGCGGAACGTCTCGATCAACTGGCACGCGTCCGTTGTTGTGACAAACATGGGGACAGGCACAGCTGACAATGATTCGGCCAGGAGGATCTCGTGCTGTGTGTAGAGAATGCCACTGGTCCCGCTGGACCTGGACAGCAGCGATGGTTGGTCGAAGGGCAACCGGCTCATCAACTGACAGCGATCCACAACGGCAATCATATCACGATCCGCACCAGCCGCACTCGCCGCATTAATTATAGCGGCTCCTTTCGTGCTGACGTAATACATGCGGCATTCGTAGAAGAGAAGCCACACGCGGCGCACCGTGGCCGGCCGGAAGCGGAAGGGGCCGTCGTGGTGGTCGCGGAGGGCCACGAAGACCGAGGGGCCACAACACTGGGGGTACAACTCGTGATAAAATGCCGGTGCCGAGGGGCCGCAGCAGTCGGGGTAGCCCGGCCCTCGCGACTGGAAGGCTTGCGGCCACACGCGCGACGCCTGGATGTAGCGGGCCGGGGCGCTGACGGAATCGAAGTCCACCAGCACCTCGTCACCGCGAAGCTCCTGGACGAAGCCCAGCCAGCACTCCTCCCGCTCCGGGTCCATCCGCACCACCATGGTGTTCTGATAGTTGAGCGACGCGCTGCTAACGCGAAGCTGGCGAAATGCCGGCAACACTAGTGTGGCATCCATTTATTTACAACTGCAGGCAAGCGGCCTTGGCCGGACGCTACAAATTACAACTGCCAGTATAATTTCAGACCTTCATGAATTAACTAGTCTGATAATAAAATTAGTATTACTGGGAATCCTTACTAATTCGCTACATAATACTCGGTATTTTTACTACCTTATTTTGCGAATTTTAAGTGAATTCCAAAAGTTATAAAATTCGTATTGAAATTTAAAAAGATGATGGAACTTTGGATCGGTGTAAGACGGTCGTCATAGTTAGGTATGTGTTACCGGTTTATGTGCGAAATTTCAGGAAGATGGGCCATAATGAGACGTTTGCTACACCTAAATCGGCTGATCATGAGTGCACTTAAACGTGTTGAAATTTTCGCTCTCTCATAATGATTAAACTCCGCAGCCGGAAGTTGCGCGGGCAAAAGTACTGTATTTCACGCCTGTATATTTATTTGTACGAGTCGTACTTGGATAGATGAGCACTGGAAAACAGGGGCCGTGTTCGGCTGCAGCCAGCGCAGATATCGGTAGTCAGTATGCAGAGTTTCAGTTTCCGCAGATTAAAATGATTAAAAGCTAATTAAAATGATTATAAAAAGTTATTCACTGAACAATCACCCGAATCAATAATGTCATTCGAAATCTTAATGACGTGCACTAAAAGAACCCAAAACAACTGCGTTTCCTTGTTGGCAAGAGAAAGCAATAAAGCAATGCAAAAAATTTGGCGGTGCGCGAACGCGAAAGTTTCCGTGGATATAGCATCAAACACGTGTACCTGTTATAACCACGGGACCTTCGCGTCCGTGCAAGCTACGGAACATAATGTGCCGGGACTCTTCCCTACTACAGTCACAGTACAGTGTACGAGTACAAGTTTACAAAATAATGAAAATATATAATACAATGCAAATGTATGTACCTAACTAAGTGTAGATTTGACATGCGTGCGACGCAGTTTCTGATGCAGCGCTGCAGCGTGGAACGCCAGTGTTCTCGGAAGCGTTGAGTGCAGACGATGACAGCTGTGGTCTTGTGCAGCCGAACGATCCTGACGAACGGTTCATGATTTAAACAGTTTACTTACATATACAGTCTTATTTAAGTCTAATTGTCTGAAAGACTGTTCATGCAGAAACTGCGAACATAGTCCAGGAATGTACACTCACTATGCTGTACAGAAAAGACATTCGTAGTACAGAGTAGTAGTGCGTCGAGTCCGTCCAAGCTAAACGCCGACGACCAGTGGCCATGATAATAATTATAACTTGCAACTATAAGATCATTTGAATGATGTAAAAAGATGCAGCTTGCGCGCCTGCTGAAGTTAGGACTTAGGAGTATGGTTTAAATCGCAATAAAGGCTGTATTTTTTCCGTGGAGCAGTCATAATCTCGAACTTACCTTCACAAGTACTAAAGCACAAGAAGAAGAATACGGAATCAGGAACATGAAGGCTGTACTGTGTTAACTGCAAATTTGCAACGTCTGGTTTTGTTTCTAGGACCACCAGAACGTCGTTCTCGTTCTGAGAACGAGAGTTAGTCAGTTAGGTCCTAGAAAGAAAATGTTATGAATTAGTTATGAATCGTAAGGACGCTCATTGGAGCGTGGTCAGCGCATCCCGCCCCAATCGGCGACAGCTGCCCGCAAGCTGACCGACCACGGACGGCAGCGGTGACCGGTTGGCCGCGTCTCATTTGACCTTTTTGCCATCCCTAATTTTGACGCGCTTGTATGGGATACTGTGGCAGTGTCTCATGTGCATGCCAGCTCGAAGAAAGCAGCAAGTGTAGCACAACTGGCGGAAGCATTCAAGCAAGCAAGCGCCGAACATAGGATTTTATATCGAGGATTTAGGATATCTTTTCTATCCGTTGGCAGTGGAGACGCTCGGAACCTTCGGAGTTCGGAACGCCTTTTGCCGAGCTGATTCGTTTGGTAGGCAGACAGATCCGCGCAGTCACCGGGGAACCGCGATCGACGGCTTTTTTCAGACAACCTTTAAGACTTAAGTTTAGCGGTAGTCGCAGCGGCTGTTTTGGGGGCACTTAACGTACGACACAGGATTCTCAATGTTTTTTCAATGTTTAAAATTTATGCTTTTAAGTAGTGTAAAGCTGCGCGCGACGCGAATTGTTACGTGTACTGGCTGATGCCTCCTATATATATACTCGTATTAGACGCAATAGACGCTTATATTAGACGCGATTCAAATGATACCATTGGCGAGTACGCAACAGGCTAGACGAGGAACGATCTGCGTAATTTATGAACACGTGCAACGAATTATTCAGTGGCAGGGTATCAGCAGAAAAGAGCAGCCAAAAAGTGGCGGAATAAGTCAGCAGTTCAACAGAAGAAAACTGCACTTGATGGTGAGACAAGCCATCACGATTAATTAACCAGTAAGGTTATAAGGCAGACACATTTCTCCGGAAAAGACAGACACAAAAACGCAGTCTCCTGGGCATCCGCCCCCGGCCGCCAAACCCTGTAAAAAAACCTGCCCCACCAATAAACAATAAGACCACAATAGGAGGAAGGCCGAAACGCCGGAACTCCGTGCAGATTAATTTCGATTTAATTCTGATTAATTCCAAATAAATTCCGATTTAATTCCGAAAAATTCCCAAATATTTCCAGAATAATCCCCCGTCTAAGCGTCGGATAAGGAGGTCTTGCGCGGACTGTTGAGGTGCAGGAAGGCGGTCTTCTCCTTGTCCTTCTTGGCCAGCTGCTTATCTTTCCGCTGCCGGTTCTTCTCCTCGCGCACCATCACGCCGCGCAACTCCCGAATCTTCTTCTTCATAAACGTCCGCTCCGCCTCACTGGCCACGCCCAGGGCCTTCAGCGCCTTCCCGTCCAGCGTCAGCAGCTTCGCCCCGTCGACGTTGTTCAAGGCGAAGCTGGCCATGTGCTGCTGCAGCTTGAAGCTGAGCATCCACTGCTGCACGTGGTGACTGGTCCAGTACACGGCGTCCGCCGCCCCGGACGGCGGTTTCTCGGGTGTCGACTGCTTGCTGCCGCTGGACGCCGAGCCCACCGAGACGGAGGAGGGCGACTGCGGCAGGATGGAGCTGGCGTCGGAGGGGGAGCGCTCGCTGCGCGATAAAGAGGCCGTGCGCGACGCCGAACGCGGGAGCGAGGCGTGCGTGGCTAAATGGAAGTTCTTCAGCGGGCTGAACTTGCCGACGGGCGTCTGGCTGTCCAGCGGCACGGCGATCGTCTCGAAGGTGTCCATGTTGTCGCCTGCAACCACGGCCATATAAAAATTTAATTTTTATTAATTTAATTTAATTTTTTTACGATCCTTGAATATTATTCATTTTATTCTTACGCATTTTATTCATTTAAATGAGGAAAATGGTAGAAATAAATTGTCTACCTTTGGCAGCCGGCGAATTCCCGCCCGATAATGGCGAGGGACGTTCCAGTGTCCCGTGGCGGTGACCGTTGCCGGCGGGCGGCGTGTGCATGGGCAGGAGGACGGGGGGTCGCGCGGGGACCGCCGGCGGCGGGAGACTGGGCCGCGGCGGCGTCTTGGCCGGCCCTGTTGGCGAGGACAGCGAGTCCTTCTCAAGGGAGTGGCGTTTGGGCGTGGGCGGCTGACGACTGGCCAGCGAGCCGCGCGCCACCAGCTCCGCTTTGCTGCGCGCCGCCGTGTTGTCCAGCAGCTGCGTGTCGCCCGGCATGTTGCGGAAGAAGGAATCCTCGCCCACACCGCTCAAGTCTGCCATTAAAAAATTCATAAAAAATGATAAAACACTGATAAAAGAATAATTAAAAAATTATAAATTGAAAAACATAGTTAAAAACAAATCAGCGCTTCTGCAATCAGCGGAAATTTCACTAAAAATTATATGTTTTAAAAGAAAATGGTTATTTAAATAACTTTCAACGAGGAAAACGTACCGGAAGGAGCCTGTGTGAGGAAGGAATGCAGCGATCCGTCGGCGTCGTCGATTTCGTTCTCGGAGACGGAGATGTCCAGCGACAGGTCCTGGGAGTTGTTGCGTTCCAGCAGGAACTTGGTCAGTGGCGACAGGGGATCGCCGGCGCTGTGGGCGGCGGTGGGAAGGGGGCCGTGCTCGCCCAGCTGCGACTGCAGACTGCTGATGTGCTCCTGCAGGTTGGCGATGATGCTCGTGTACTTGATGTCGCGCTGCTCCAGCTGCGACTGGAAGTCCTTGATTAACCGTTTGGCCTTGTTGTACTTGCGCTCCAGCATGGCGTAGCGCGACTGTGTTTCTATCAGCGCGGCCTATCAACATCAATAAATTAAACTCTCTGTGATTGAATTCTGAAATTTATCCCATAAAGTTCAACGGAAAAATAGCAAAATGAGCAAAGCTAAAATTAATCCAAATACAAATACATAAATTATACAATTTACATTTATATTAAATTTCGACTTTCGCCTCACATAAGAAATCCAAAAACAATCACAAAATGTTTTCCAAATTACTGTCTCTTTTATGAATTTTTTGTAATTTGATTTGATGAGTTAAAAGTTGAAATTTAATTTGAGAAATTTAATTTGAAATTTAATTTAATTTAATTTTTCAACTTTTAACTCATCAAATCAAATTACAAAAAAATTCATAAAACTTTCGAAAATCGCTGTTTTAATTACATTCCGACTTTTAGGTCCCGAAATTAAGCCGACAAACTTGCAGAAATTCCAAAACAGCTTTTCTTAGATTTATTTGATGAACATGAGGGAAAAAATCGAAAGATACTCCGGCTGACCTGCAGATCGGTGACGCTCTGCTGCGCGTTGCGCTGGTTCTCCTCGGCGGCGCGCAGCTGCTCGCGGTGCAGCTGCAGCTCGCGTTCGAGATCCTCGGAGCGGTGGGCGCGTGATTCCATCTCCTGGAGGTGCGCGCGCAGGCGGTTGACCTCGGTCTCGGCGGTGGCGCTCTTCTGCTGCGCCTCGGCCAGGCGCAGCTGCAGACTGTCCACGTCGAAGGCCACCGGCGACAGGCCGCGGCCGTCCTGCGCCGCCGACAGACGCGCGGCGAACTCGGCCTGCTGCTGGTGCTGGCCGGGGTACACCAGGTCGTGCTCCAGGTCCGCCGAGGGCGTGTGCGGCTCGTAGTCCTCCTCGAAGACCGGCTCGTCGCCCTCGGCGGCGAAACTGTGCACCTCGTCCGCGTGCTGCTGCTGCTGCTGGTGAAAATTGCGCAGATCCTGCCGGCGGAAAATTAACCGATTTATCCAAAATTTCCCATTTGAAGGGATGATTCAGTACTCACCGCTAAGGCCTCGGCTTCCGCCTGACGCTCCTTGTCGCGGGCCCGCGACTGCTCGATTAGCGACGCCACCTCGCTCTGCTCGTTGGCTTTTTCCCGGCCGATGACGAAACGCACCAGGCCCTACAAACAAAGCATTTCGTATTTCCAAAATAAATACAACCAGAACCAGAAAAAATAACCGGAAAACACAACCAGAAAAAATACGCGATAAATAGAAATGCAATTACAAATAAATAAAATCAATACGCGATAAAAAACAACCGTCAGAATAGCTGGAAATCGTGTTTTTTGTAGGAAGCTGCATGACATAATGAAGGCAGTGCACTGGTCAAAACTGTTGATACTGTATGGAAACTATAAAAATATACTCTTAACATTTTAGAACACAATATGGCTATTAGTTCGATAAAATGTTGTACGTTCAGTGGACAAGCAAATAAAATTAGAAAATACGCAAGGTATAAATACATAATTAATTTAATTTTTTAAGGAGAATGAACGGATACCTGGGTGGCGCGGAGGACCTGGGCGGCGTAGACCTGCGTGACGCCGACGAGGCTCTTGCCGTCCACCTCGATGATCTGGTCGTTGACCTTGATCCTTCCATCCGCCTCGGCCAGGCCGCTGACGCTCTTGACGAAGATGCCCAGCTTCTCCAGTCCCGCGTCGGCGCCCACGCCCATCCCGATGATGCTCAGCCCGAGGCCGCCGCCGGGCTCCTTGAACATCTCCACGGGGAAGACGTCCATCTTCTCGATGCGCTTCTCCAGCTCGTACTCGGCCGAGGCGGCCACCGGGTCCACGTCGGGGTTGCTGCGGTCGTACTCGTGGCTGGAGTGCGTGCTGAACACCAGCACGCGCCCGGCGTTGAAGCGCACTTTGACGGGGCGCGGGGTGAGGTCCGTCAGCAGGTGCTCCGGGTAGTCCTCGTCCGTGTCGCGGACGGCCATCGGCGCCTCCACGAAGTAATGCCCATCCTGCCAAAATACAAATTCACTTAAGAAACCCGAAAATTAGAATATTTCTTTTTTCGATACTGTATTTTTGCAAAATTATGGCTTTTCCGTCGAATTTTTTCGTACGAATATTCCCTTAAATTTTTGTATTTACAATTTCATTTTTCTCGTTATTTCCTGGCTTGAGAAAACCTAAATTTAAACTGTAAATCTGATTTCGATTGAGAAACGTTTTCTAGATTTTAAGCGGTTTCATGTGGATTTTAAGTGATGACGATTTCAAACAAGAATAAATTAACCGCAGAGCAATCCGGTGGATATGTACCTCCAGCACGTTTAAGGGATACATGTCGAAGACGTTGCCGGGGATCTTCTCGGCCGGCAGGAGGACCGGCGGCATCAGTAGACCGACGCCGGTGCGGCGGCCCTTGCGGCGGGGCGGCGCCGTCGGCTCCTCCTCCTCGTCCACTTCGTCCGTGGACTCCTCGTCGGAATCCTCCTCCTCGCTGTGATTTTCTTCAATGTAATCAGGTCGGTCGTTCACTCTCCCGGACGGCTCAAAAGATACCTGCAAACAAATTACCAATACATTCCAGTAATAAATTACCAACAAAAAAATTAATTATTTAGTGAAGGAAACTAAAATACAAAAAAATTAATAAAAAAAAAACAGTTTTTTATCAACTGATTACAAACACCATAAAACAAACGCACAGTTACGCACTTAACAATTTCATTCACTTATATCACATATTCACCACTTATATTTACATTTATATAATATTATTTCGTCACTTATATTACAATAATCGTTTTAAAAAAATAATTGATAATTCCCGAATAAATTGTGATATAAATAAGCACCTCTGTGTCGTTTGTCTCGGGCTCGGTGGTGGACTCATCAAGCTTGAAGACGACACCGTCGGTGGAACCGCGCAGGAAGATGCGCTGCTCCTCCTCCGTCATCAGCTCCATGTCCTCCTCGCTGACCGGCAGCACCTTCGGCTCCGCGGCGGCGCTGGGACGGACGGGCGACTCCTTCGAGGGCGACGCGAAGGCACTGGACAGGCCGGCCGGTTTGACGGGCAGCGGCGGCGGCGGGGACATGGAGGAGGGCAGGGGCGGCGCGGCCGGGTCGAAGTACTCGTCCTCGGCGGGATCATCTGTCACAACGCTCTCCCGCACCTGCGTGGGCGCTTCGACAGGCTTCTCCGGTGTCGGCTCGGTGAAGCGCGAGGTGATGACGAAGCGCTCGGGGGAGGCCGTGTCCCGGCGCGGCACCGCACTGGATTCGGAGGGTTTGGAGAAGAAGGCGGCCCGACTGGAGACGACGGAATCGGCTGCGGGTTTGTGATGCACTGGTGAGTGAATGGTTTCGTCCACGTGCGAGCGCGTGGCGGCAACTGGCGTCGCCGAAGACTGATGCGCTGTAAACATTCATACATGCTTTATTTTTGATTCATTTTCGATAGGGTATATTTTACTTATTTAAGACAGCTTTATTTATGTTTGTATTTCTTGGGTTATTTGATTGATTCTTCTTTATTTCACGTGACTTCACTTTCTCTGCTGTATTATTCTTTCATTTTTATGCTTATCCGATTACATTTTCCCGAATTTTCTTTACTGATTCGATTTATTTTTCTTTTGATTTTGAGTGCGTTTATTTTTCTTAAGTTTTCTTGATGTCAATTAGGCTTTCACTCTATTTTCATGCATTTCCATTTGTAATTCTCTCGTTTATGCAGGATCGTCAAAAAAACGGTAAAGAAAATACTCAGAAACCGAGAAACGCAGACTACAACGTACCGTTCAGGGAAGACACGACATCGTGTATTTTGGAAGCAGTGGTGGTGCGGAAAGGCGAGCCATTAACCAGCGGCTGCGGATGGGCCGTCTCTTTATCCATGGAACGCGAGGAGGGCTCCTGCCCGTCGCCGTCGCCGTCGGGGCTCTTCTTCTCGTACTCCGGCTCGCGTTTGGGCAGGAGATCGGGGCGGACGTGGTCGGGGCTGAGCTGCTGCTTGATCATCAGGCGAGATTCCGAGGAGGAGCGCTGCCGCGCATCACCGCGCTGGAAGTCGCCGGACGCGGCGCTGCGCGAGCGCGAGGAGGCCAGCCGCAGGTCGTGCGGGGACAGACGGCCCGGCGCCGCACTGCCCATCTCCGGACTGCCCGGTTTCCCGTTCTCCCACAGCGAGGAAGGACTGGCGGCGCGCCCGCTACTGCGGCCACGCACTGCAGCCGATCCGCCTGAATCACGCGGAACAGTGTCAACAACACAGGGAAATACTCGTAAAATGCGCCAACGTGTGCAGAGCAAACAGCGACTGATAACGCCAATCACACCGATAAGACACACTGATTACGCACTGTTTATGGCATTTTGATAAGAGTGAATGACTCACCCCCGGTGACTTTGCTGGCCTCTTCCTTGCGCAGGAAGAACTCCTTGGCGTGCTGGAAGCGCAGGACATGATCCTCCACCCCGGTGTGCAGCCCGGCGGCCGCCACGGGGAAGGAGCGGCGGCGGTCCTCCTTGCGCGGCGCCTCCGCCGCCGCGGCGTGCCCGTTGTGGTGGGGAGTGGGGAGGCTGGCGCGTTCGGGGGGCGCGGCGCTGCGGGTCAGATTCTCCTGGGCCATGCGCACCAGCTGGCTCTTCTTGACGGGGGACGCGCCGGTGTCGTGCGGGTCGTCGACGCTGCTGCGGCTGCTGGAGATGGAGGCCGTGCCGCTCTTACTGGGCAGCGCGGGGTGGTGGTGCTGCTGTTGGGCCAGGAAGATGCTGGCCATCTTGGGCACGGAGTCGCGCGTGGGCTTCTTGGGGAGGGCCGGCGCGGCGGGCCAGGCGGGGGCGGCGGCGCTGGAGACGGCGGCGCTCATGGCAGAGGGGGGCTTGGTCGAGGGGGGCTCGAAGCTGGAGCGGAGGGCCGCCAGACGGTTGCTAGTGCTGCTGACGACGACGGGACTCTCCGTGCTCATACTCATCCCACCAGGACAGTCATGCGACAACCACCTGCCAACGCCAACACCACACCTGTCAGTTATACGGTTTTTTTACTTTCCCGCTTCATTGTCAGTACACACATTATTACATCAACTTCGATTTAATTCAGACAGAACCACGTTGTTTTTACCTTTATTTAACGTCAGCTGTAACCAAAACCGAAAGCCTTCAAATTTAAGAACGACCCAAAATTATTTATTTACCTGATTAAAAATTCAATATTTCTTCTTTCTGAAACATTCCACCGAAACATCAAAAACTATGAAAAATCAAAATTGTTTATTTCTGAAACATTACATGATTACACAGGAAAATTAAAATTAAACATTTTTACTTTCTCGAAAATTATTCGGTATTTTTTTTCTGGAAAAATCCACAGAAAAATGGGAAAAATTTACAATTTCGAAGCACTGGATATTTCGACTTCAGCCTGCAGACAAGCACGAAAAAATATCGAACAAAATTCCAGAAACTTTAACTGGAGCGACAGGAATAAAAATAAGAATTTGTAACCGCGACGTTAAAAAACGAGGACCTGGCCAAATCGGCGTTCAACAAAGGAAGACAAAGATCTTATCAGAACAAGACGCGCATGTTGTGATTACACTTGAAACAGTAATTCTCAACCACCGCGCAACACTGTGATGGCAAAAGTTCAGCGGCCCCTTGAGCAGCGCAATCGCAGTGGCAACAGTAATAAGAGAGCAACGCGAGCAGGGCATGTAAACAACGAGCGCGAAAGCAGCCAGCGTCGCGCGTCTAATTAGCTGCTTCTGCAGCATGTAATCAGTAATACGGTTCAACATGGCAGAAAATTAATGATACCTTCACACACACTCACCCCCGTCATTCATCAACGGAAACGCCGTCAAACACGGATGCTGGCAGATTATCAGGGAGAGAGGAGACAAATGATTCCTGCAAAGACTGACGCTACAAATCGCGGTCAAACCACAGCAGGCCAGCGTGCAGATCAAAACTAAACGGCTTGTTTACATTTGGCCCACCTACACGATCGATCAATTTCGTCAATCGTCGACTCCTACGCCAAATGTAACAGGTAGAGAGAACGGGTAACGGTCCACTGACGTTGGCTGACGGACGGAGATTCCTCACCGAAAACTGAAAAACTTGAACAACGATAGCTGGCAGACGTTACAAGGATGGACGCATGATAATTCGTAATCCAGAGAATGATTGCGAGGATGAGCGACACGAAGTAATTAGTTTTTTCGCAGACCTGACAACCGAGATTGGCCTACATCGCGCACTTGTTTTGCTGGCAATAATTTGTAGTGAGCGCTGCAGAGTGCAGACGACGCTTGCAAGACCTTGCGGACACTTGTTCACGTCGATACAGATCGAGAACTGGGCCAACGCGCCACTAGCGTCACGAAGACATCACCAGTTGCTTACGCCGATCGCTTCATATTTCTCGTCACTTGGGCTTTTCAAACACCACCGCGATTGATCCAATTATTCTTTTCAATTTTTCTATTCAGATTTGCAATATTTATTTGTTGTACAAAACGCTGTTTGATCAGTAAAAGCAGAATAGTAAACCGCCGTAAACGGAAACCCAACATTTTACTCGTTACATTTCATTTGCGCGTGAATACCTCGCTACGTTACGCCTGCCTGCCTGCATTAACTGCCTTTGGTAATGGAAGCGTGACTGATGAATTCCAGCGCCTGCGTGGAAATGGAACCGAGCACATCTGTCTGCTCGAAAATTTTGACGCTGCTTTGCGGTTGTGAAATTAGGTACGGAGTGCTGCAGTTTTCGAGATTTCCTCTCTTTTCTTGTTGTACTCATTTTTTTCCTGGATTCTATCACTTTTCATCCCGCGCACCCGTAAATTTAGGTATTTATTGTCACCCTCTTGAAAATGTCCTCGTCGTCCGAGTCGAGTTTTGACGAGCCCGAGGAGTGCACCGTGGCGAATGTGGCGGTGCTGAACAAGTACAAATTAGCCGGAGAAATTGCTAACAGTAAGTGGGCGCAGGCGCTGCGTCTCCCTGTAGTCGCCCATCCGCTCCACGCTGCTGTACAGAGAAGCGTGCAGTCGGGTGGAACTGGGAATTATGTGGTCTGATCTGTGGTGATTTTGCTGCTGTTTTGCTGGAGACAGACGTTCGCAAGCGTTTTCTTTGCTTGCAGAGGTCGTAAAGAGTGTGGTGGAGAAATGCGCGGCGGAGCAGTCGGTGCGGGAGTTATGCGAGGCGGCCGACGCCCTGATCATCGCGGAGACGTCGTTGATTTTCAAGAAGGAGAAGGAGCTGCGCAAAGGTTCGCTGCACTCCGCTGGTTTACCTTCAGCTGTGTGATGCGCTGCACTGCGTTGACAGGTGTGGCCTTCCCCACGTGCATTAGCGTCAACAACTGCGTCTGCCACTTTTCGCCCCTCAAGAACGACACGGACGTCGTGCTGAAGGACGGGGACCTCGTCAAAATGTATGCCAGGCTCTTGATCGCCGTTTTGACTGCTTATTGAGCGCTGCTTTCTTCCTGCAGTGATTTGGCCGTGCACATTGACGGATACATCGCCAGTGTTGGATATTCACATGTGGTTGGCGCTACGAAGGTTAGTCACAGGATTTTTATTACATTTTCAACTGTGCATCTTTGAATTGGCTGTATGACATTATCGCGCATTACGTGGCATCCTTTTTGAAATTTGTAATTAATTTCATTTTACAAGACACGAATAATCGATGATGCATTTATAATTTTATTAATTTTAACTGAATAACTCTTGTACGAGTAACTCCTAATTTTTTGGCAGTTTTTAATTCATTGATTTTAATTATTTCACCCGCATGGTGTACTTCTTCATGTTCAATTTAATATCGATTAATTCTAATAAAATAGCGCTCATTTATCGCATAATAATTTCTTTATTTTTAATGTTGGATTCGGCTATTAGTTAATTTTTGTAACACAATAAGAAATAATTTTCGGCTAGGAAGAAGGTTATTGATTTTGTTTGCTACTTGGAGAATTTTTGTTTGAAGCGAAACGAACTAGTGGTGATTGCAGGAGAACCCGGCGAGCGGACGGAAGGCGGACGTGATCCGGGCGGCGTACACGGCCCTGGACGCCTCCATGCGCCTCATTAAGGGCGGCGTTGATGTACGTGCGGCGTGTGTAATTGCAGGCAGTAGTTAATATATTTGTGGAGTATTTATTCTGTCATTTGAATGATTATTATAAAAATATGGATCTTGTTTGGGCAGAACTTCAAAGTGACGGAGGTGATCCAGAAGGCGGCGGAGGCGTTCCAGTGCAAGCCCATCGAGGGCATGCTCTCGCACCAGCTGTACCGCAACCAGTTCGAGGGCAAGAAGAGCATCATTCAGAACCCCAACGAGGCCCAAAAGTGTGTATCGCCAATCATTCTTCACTGTGCTGGACTGCATTTAGCTGTGCTTTTTTGTTGAATTAACGGTGTGTCGCCTGTGTGGTAGACGTGAGCACGAGAAGTCCGAGTTCGACGTGAACGAAGTGTACGCGCTGGACATCCTGGTCAGCACGGGCGAGGGCAAGGCCAGGGAGGTGACGGCGCGCACCACCATCTACCGCAAGACCGACTCCTCCTATCCGCTCCGCATGAAGACCTCCCGGGGTAATTATTTGTGCAATAAATTAAATTTTGCTGATTAATTTTGTTATTTTTTCCTTGCTTTTATTGAATATTGTCGAAGGGTGTTTTATCTGTTTCAAGAAGAAATCTGGCTGCATTTGCAGTGCAGTTAATGGCTTAGTTTTTACTTGTGCCTGGCTCTTGGCGGTGTGTTTTTGTTTACTTGTTAATTATTGATTGTGTGTGTGTGCTTGTAGCTTTCTTCTCGGAAGTGGGCGCCAAGTACGACATGATGGGCTTCTGTCTGCGCTACTTCGAGGACGAGAAGAAGGCGCGGCTGGGCATCGCCGAGTGCGTCAACCACGGCCTGCTGACGCCCTTCCCGGTGCTGTACGAGAAGGAGGGCGACCTGGTGGCGCAGTTCAAGTGCACCGTCGCCATCACCGCCACCGGCCTCCAGAAGATCTCCGGCTTCCCGCTCGACGTGGACGCCTACAAGTCCGACCACAAGATCGCCGACGCCGACCTCAAGGTGCACCCACCAACACATTAGAATCGTTGCAACGGCGTCTGATGTGGTTAATTTATTGCTAATGGCGTCTAATGTGGTTAATTCATTGCTTATTTACCTGGTACTATTTTATTTGGTGTTTACTCATCATTTTATTTATTCGTTGTGTATTTTATTCACTATTTTATTCAGTACTGTATTTATTTATAATATTTCGTTTAGATTTCTTATTTTCTTTAGTATTTGAGTTAGCATTTCATTTATTGCTTTATTTAGCGATACGTTTGTTTGATTATGTAGTATCCTGTTTAGTATTTCATTGAATGATTGCTGATTGAGCAGGAGGCGCTGAGCACGGGGACGAAGACGAACAAGAAGAAGAAGGCCAAGGCCAAGAAGGCGGCGGGCGAGGCGGCCAACGCGGCGATCATGGGCTTGAGCCTGAAGGAGAAGGACGGCCAGCCGCAGCCCAGCCAGGACGGATCATCGGCAGCGGAAGCGGCGGCGGGCGCGGGCGGAGATCAGGCTAAGGAGACGAGCACCGCGGTGCGGGACGCCTAAAGGCCCGCCTCCCGCCCGTCAACGTGTCCAGTTGTATTACCTTCTTTCCGCCGGACTCCAAACAAACTTTCCTTCACCACTGGCTCGGTTTCCCTGGGGACGGGACGACGTCCCACTTGTGTGGATAGGCGCCACGCCCCGGCGTCCGGGGCGTGGCTGCTGATGACGCTGGTTCTGGTTGTCGTAGACGAGCTGCGCTGTCCGCGTTGCGCGCGCGACTCGTGTTGGCTGACTTGTCGATAGTCCGCGGCAGCGCCGAGCGCAGCTCTAGTTTTTTACTTGTTCTCTAACACACTGATACGGCTCCTCTCTTCGATCATTTAACAAAAACAACAACTACCAACTGTTGATCCGTTCGTTCAATAATTATAGTAAACGACTGCAGTGAGATTAGTTATTACAGTTATCGTACATAATTATAAAAATATTTTATAAAAAATAGTGATAATAATTATAGTCCGGGGAGGATGAGTTTGTGGTAGGGCTGGGGCTGGGCGGGCGGCGGCAGCGTGTGGTGGGGGTGGAAGTCCTTCCAGAAGGACAGGTAGCAGGAGATGATGATGTTGCCGGGGTTGGAGGTGGGGTTGGGCTTGGAGTTGTTGTACAGGCCCTCGTAGTGGATGGCGTTCTCGCGGCCAGGCCGCAGCTGCTCCGTCAGGTCCACGATCCACGGCGTCACGTTCTCGCCTAGCAAAAACCACCCGTACAACAACAATTTAATTTGTTATCCTTTTTCTGTTTTGTTAAACCATCAGCGATAGACCGCCAGATTAATTTCCTGTAATTTTTTAATTTTATTTTTATCCGCCCGCAGGGCGGTTGACGCCGGCATAACTCAATGAAGTACAGTACTGTAATTAAAAAAATGAAAATTAATTTTTTAATGATTAGCAAGGCAGTAAATTGACAATTTAATGGATTATGATTTCTTTAAATTATAATTTTGATTGACCACCGGGGCGGTTGAGGCAGGCGACTGACGTACCGGGACACCAGCCGTTGCGGCCGTACAACCAGGTGCCGTGCTGGTTGGCCACCGTGCCCTGGCGGACGCGGTGCGCGCAGCCGTGCGGCGTGCCGGCGTTGGTGAAGACGCGGGAGTTGAGGTTGGCGTTGTTGACGAGGAGGTTGTGCGTGGTGACGCAGAACTCGGCGCAGTTGTTGTTGTCGGAGCCGTGGCCGGTGATGAGGCAGTAGGCCGTGACGCGGCGCACGTCCGGCGGCAGGAAGAAGTGGAAGTCGTGGAACTTGCTCTCGTACGTCAGGTCGAACGGCTCCGACCCCACGAACATGGGCTCGATGTGCTCCGGGTACACCGGCGGCCCGCCGCCCTTCGGCGCCGCTCCCCCTGCTCAAAGGGGGCCCGTTTACATATTCGAAAGTGACCAATTCCAGCACAGCCACAACAATTAATATTATGTGACATATTTAAAAATAATTTAGCATACTGTACGCACGTAAAGAAATAAGTCAATAAATTATCTGTACATGTATACCGGGTTGGTTGGCGCGTATCCAGTCGAGCGGGTCGGAGAAGCGCAGCGTCAGCACCGGGTACCAGGCGTCCGTCCAGGGCGGGTGCTTCATGGTGAAGTTGCAGAACTGCGCCGTCAGCAGCGGCATTAAATGCGTCGCGTCCGTTAGCCAGCGCCCCACTCCACTACAAAATAAGCAACAAATATAAATTTTAGATATCTATATATATATTTATCGTTAGTATATAAATATCTATATTATATATACTCTGTAGAATGACGATACATGTACGCCCATCACGGCCACTGCATATTTCTAAGGTAGTTGTAGATTAATAACATACCTCACAAATTATGCAATACAAATTAAAATGACTTCACAGTACCTACAGATTACATGCTCGTATTAAAACACGAACCACGTACCATACGCATACAGTATTGTACTCTGTACTTACGATTATTTATACTGTACCTACTCCCTATTCGGGCCTATTGACATTATACTGTATTATAACGCATAAATGAACTTTAACCGGAAGTATCAGATCTGTATACATATACTGCCCGCTGTGACGAAAACTTAACAAATAGAAGCTTATAACTTTATCTATATTCGGTCAAGTACTGGCGATGGAAGTGTTACTGTACGTGATTTGCTTGCATAGTTATTGACACGTACCGGCGGTAGGCGGTGATCCAGCGGCCCATCTCCATGCCGCAGAGCGCCGTGTCGTCGCAGCAGACGAACAAGTGGATGGTGTGGTCCCACTCGGCGCAGCTGCGGTCCGTGCTCAGCGGGCACTGCAGCTCCAGGTCCAGCGTCAGCTTGGCGAACGGCACGCGGTCTGTAAACAAGATGAGAAAACACGTCAATCCCCTTAATACTCGATCGTTTGTCTCGCTTAACATTAACCACGCCGCAGTCCAGTCCAAAAGAGCGCATAGGGCAAAGGTCACTTCTTAAACAACCTCCGCAGCAAAATCAACCAAATCTTGGCACGTACATAAAAATAATTATGTTTTAATCACTTCCTGGTTGAAATGTACTATGGACTGTTTAATGTTTACGGATTTTCGCCGGTTTAGCATGATATTATGAGCCATTATACCGCCCCGTCAACCCACCACCGTACAGCTTTCGTTTGGTTGTACAAATACACAGTGCGAAGGTTATTTAAGTAACCATTGCCCGTAGCGCAGCCGTCGCCGGCCGCTCTTAAGGACCAGACTGCGGAGGTCGCCGAACCGTGCCGGCAGTGTCTTACGTCCGTCCCAGGGCATCTGCACGTCGGCCGCGAAGGCCCCGGCCTCGCCGTGCATGCGCGTGTGGTTGAAGACGTTGACCAGCAGATCGCCGGCCTTCCCCTCGGGCTCTCCGCGGGGCGGCGGCACCGGCTTCCCGGGGACCGGCGGTCCGACGGGCGGCGGCGGGAGGATGCCCTGCAGCTGGTCATGGAGGTCGGTGAGGTAGTTCATGCCCTCGATGTGCCAGGCGAAGAAGTTGAAGCTGGGAAACAAGCACCAGCCCATCTCCTGCAAGCGGCCGCGCCGGTCGATGCCCACGTAGAAGTTGTCGGACTGCGTCGTCTGGAAGCGCACCAGGATGCTCGTGCCCTGCCGCGCCAGCGCCATGATGCGCTCGTCGTACGGCACCATCGTCGCCGGGATGGACAGCACGGCGCTGCACTCGCCGCCCTGGCAGTTCATGTCGCGGATCGGCTCGCCGCTCCCCGCCACCACCATCACGCCCAGACTCCCGCTCTGCTGCATATTCCACACCTACGCGGACATTCAGTTTATTATACAGCTAATTCATCTCTAACGATGGTATTTCAGAAGATTACACAGTGTCCATCAGACGTATACGTATATAAATATCGTCGATAATTTCAGAGTAACCATTCTACAGCACGTATTAGGCCTGATATATAACCACATATGCGTATATGAGATATACAAGACAGTGACCTTTCTGTAAAGCATATTAGACTGATCATACATAAGCTATGTATTTAGTCCTCAAATCAAGTAACAGCGGCATTAATTTTGGAGTGTTGATACTAGAGATGTTTCTGATAAATATATAAGACGGTGACCTTTGATTACTTGTACATATTACGCGGCACATATATACGAACTGCATATATCTATATACCGTGATTACTGATATAAGCAATAAGCAGTAACCATTTAAATGCATAATCAGCGACCTATATATACTTGCCATACAAAACGACTAAAATACAGTGACCTTTTTGAAGTAAGAGCATCCTCCGTCGGTGAGGAAGGCGATCTTGCCGCGCACCATCGGATTGCGCTCGCAGCCGGCGCCGGCGAAGAGGATGGGCGTGGCCCGCGAGCCGAAGCCGACGAACATGTTGGGCAGCCAGTCGTAGCGCGCGTCCTGCCGTTTCAGCACCACCGGCTGCAGCCGACCGTTCACTATATCACACGCATACATACGTAAATCTTGTTACATATGTTTACTGATTTTAGTAATTATTCTACGAGCGATGTAAAACGACAGTGAGCGGAGGTACATGTAAACGTAAATGTTAGTATCGTACTTCGGCCGGCGCAGTTCTCGTCGTACATGAGGCAGTCGAGCGTGCTGTGGGTTAGCGGGACGGCGGCGCTGTCCGGAAGGAAGACGGCCTGGTAGTAGCCGCAGTTGTGGTCCTCGCAGCGCCACTCCTTCAGCACGTCGGGGATCCAGTTGCCCAGCTCGTACACCGGCGTCGTGGCGAAGTGCATGCGCTGCAGCTGCTCCCCGATCTCCGCCTCGCTCAACTGCAGCTGCAGCATGCGGTTGATCAGCTGCTTGCGCATCCACTGCGCCTCGGCGTACGCCGACGCCGACGTCGACAGGAAGATGTACTGGGCGTCCGCCGGACCCTGTTACACATTCAAACGTTTTCTCCGCATTGAGAAAGCCATTGTTTAATTAAGACGCACCTTGATGATGCCGTCGAAGGAGTGCGGCGTGTTCCAGAGGGCCTCCAGGAAGCCGGAGCGTTTGTCGAAGGTGTGGATGAGGATGGGGGCGTTGTTGAGGGGCTTCTGCGGGAAGCGGACGCTGCCCTGGATGGTCACCAGCGAGAAGGGCGGCGCCGGGTCACCCGGCTTCAGGTCGCGCGGTGACAGCGACCGCTTGCGCAGTTCCCGCCCGGGGCTGGCGGTTAGGCCGGGGAAGATGCGGTTACTGGGCACCGCCGCGGAGGTGCCGTATAGCGAGTTGTCCTGTGGCTGGTCGGGGATGTGTTTGGGCACGGAGAAGATGTTGCGGAGAGCCACCTACCGATCACTCGTGTTCTTCTCAAATATACCATAACAAATCATTATTGTACCGGTGTGACCGCAAACAAACAAGAGTAATTATTCGACAGCACTTTATATGTCTTTTTTTATATTCACATATCTTGTACGCATTCGTTGTAAAGGTCATATGCGTTTTATATATATTTATTATATATATACAGCACTCAAATTTATATAATTATGCAATCCACATTTTTATACGATTATCCGTATATATAAACAGTCATCGTGTTTTTTAATATGCCGGTTAGAAAATCTAAAACATATTATAATGGCAAACATTGAATATGAGGGACCGACCTGGTTCTTCCAGCCGATAGTCTGGTGGTCGGGCTGCCGGCCATAGGGCACGATCGGCCGGAAAAAGGAGCCGGCTCCTCCCGCTCCGCCGTGGGGCGGCTGGGCGACGGGCAGCGGGCGCAGCGGCGGTTGGCCCTCGGGGTGGTACTGGCTGAAGTCAGCCGGGAGGAGGAGCCCCAGGAGGGGGTCCAGCAACAGGGCCAGGAGGAGGATAAAGAGGCAGCTGCGCGGCGAGCACAGCGGAGGCATGCGGCCTCGACCGGCCCGGCCGTAAGGGGGCGGCCGGTAATCGGCAGGGGGAGGGACGGCGGGCCCCGCCGCCGAAGCGCGGCAGTGAGGGGCGTGTCCCTCCGCCGGGCAGGTGCACGGCGGGTCAGCCGCGGACGGGTCGTCAGCATGTGGCACGAGTACTGGCATTCCTGCGCATTAGTATTATATACCAGACCGATGTCTACAGGAATATATGGTGTTGACGTGGGCTACGCCAGTTCCATCCGCAGTACAATGTAGCGCAACGTGACCCCCGTCGTCCTTGATCGTACTGCCACAAATACAGATACCCGTATTTAGATCAACTTTAAGGTTATACAGCTAACAATGAGGTTACTCTGGTAGTGTGTGCGCGTTGCAGAATTAGAGCAAAACAGCGGGACAAGTGCGGTACTGAGCTTTATCTACGATGGCATCGGGTCAAGTTGGATAGAATTTGTTGACAAACCGATGCTTTATCACGGTGAGGGATTGCTTAATGTGTTATAAGTATTACAGACTGCTGTTAATTTTACTAATGGTTTATCTTCCGTACGGTTACTACACACGGCGTCGAGTATCATCCAAATAAAACCAGTGTGCGCATAATTACACAAACACTATGTAATTCGTATGTTCCCTTATCATGGCTGTACCGGTGTCAGGTGTCATTTAAGTAATTAACGGGGCATGCACTTCGGTTGATCGCTTAACAGGGATTATATTACTTGTATAATTATGTTATATTAACAACGTAAATGGTATATACGTATATGCTCGTAATTACAGCCACTTGATGAGATATCGATTAGGCCGACGCATCTGTACCCTACAAGCCGCGTGGCTATTGCGTCGTATTACTGTGCTTGCTTGGAAATAAAATATTATGTAGAATTCTGGCGATGATAATAAAACATAGCAATATCACAATAATGTTCATGTCATATTTTTCCAAGAGCCAGTTACGTACCGTGTGTTGGTAATATCTATTATATAGTTGGTAATATCTATTACTTGCAGAGTACATACATAGTCCATATATACAGATACATGCGTTCTTACCGAATAAATGCCGATATAAGTCGATTACGAGCAGTTCTAATTAAATGTCTCAGAATTTGCACAGCGTGCATTCACATTACTATCATTAATCCGTAAATTATTATTTACTATTTATTCTGATTTTCCAATGGTGAAAAAACATATCCTCCAGCTCCACGCCGTAAGCTAGCCAATTGTCTCCTTTTTGGGCGGCGAAAATATTACAAATTTGGCCTACGTTGGTCGTTGGAAAATACTTTGTATCAGCTCATTTTCATTATTTTACCGACACTGTTAATCTTCCTCGTTAATTCAGCTAAAGCGTATACATCCTAACAATAATTAGAGTAAATGCGTTTCCTGACACGTACAGCCGGTGACCTTTGGACCATAGTCAATGTTAATCGCTGCCTAGTTCCGTACAATGCAGCAGCATGGCAAACCAATTAGGAGCTCAATTGCCACGTTGACGATGCCGATCAGTCGGCAGAAAAAAACCGGCATAGCAGGCAGTTAACGGGAATGTGCATTGTGTTGTCCTTTATCGCCGCAGTTCATCGTAACCAATGCATTTCACCGGCCATGCCGATATCGATACGCGATTCCTTGCCTAGAATACGTAGTTACGTACAGCGAAGCAGGCCAAAACTAGCTACCAACCAACCGGCATCGCAGTTGCAGCTGGCCATAATTAATTATTCGAAGCATCCGCAGTCTGACATCATCGCCGGCAAGGCAAAAAAACTGGATGACCTGAGGAGTGAGGGCGGGTCGGGCGGACCGATAGATATGCACGAAACAGGGCAAAGGCAAGCCCGGACAACTGTTGACATGCCACACTGATTTGCCAGTGTTGTGATCGAGCGGCCAGGTCAACGCTGGGTTAACATTATCGGTTATGGGGAATTTCTAACAACGGGCTGTTATTATTGTAATAATTTTTATTAACGGTGCATTAAGACAACTGACATAACAATACGTTACGGCTGCGTATCTGCCATCAAACAGTAGCTGACCAGCGCTTCCGGTTGTCCGCTTACCGGATGATCCCTCTAGTTTAGTTCCTCTTCCCGATTTATACCTACCTTTTTTCTGTCCGACATCACCTGCCGCATGCGCTCATTTCGCCGCATTATACGTACGTGTCCGATCGATCTTATCAGTGGCGGGACGAATTAAGTGGCCACGTAAATCCCTAGCACGTCGTGATGCCATCCATGACCAGTGGTCAGTGGGCGTGGGGCTGCGCGCTCTTTGTTGCCGGCTGCCTCTGCGTACTGCTCCTGCCGGCGCCGGCCACATGCAATAAACACTGCGACGTAAGTTAACGAATGCGCTAGGGTAGGTATCGTACCAATTAATTATCTCATATAACTGATATAAGTAATACTTAATACTCGTAGTAATATCAAGCTGACCACGCTCTTAATACTTATTGAATAATTATTCCTACGGTAGCGTTGCTGTGCTTACACGTGTTCGAGTACATGTACCGGGAGTGACCAGTCATGTATAATAATATATTTCCGCTTTCTAGATCTCTTGTTATTTGACTAAGGTGATTTACTAATCAATACCAGGTACTATTATATTACTCGGCACCACGACATAATATTAATTTTTCTTAATGCGCGTATCTGTACTTGATCACGTTACGCATACACATAGTCACGGTACCATGACGGAACGAATAGCTGCATTACAGTGCAGGTCTCGCGATGATGCCGATGTTGTTACCGTTGTTGCAGTCGGAAGTGTACCGGTGCAAGCGCGGCGATGAGGTGTTCAAGTACCAGAAGAAGTCCCTGTGCAAGAAGACGCTGCAGAGCTCGGGTGTGGTGACCATCGACTGCCACGGCGTCCGGCACGACTGCATCTGTCTGGACGGTGCGTACTGCCTAGTGCCTGGTTCCTTCCTTCACTGACTTAATTACTGCAGAACAGAACAGCGATGCTGTAAATCTAGGTTGCATAGAAGTATGTAATGTACACGATAATTATGTATACAAGTGAAATGGCTGCAACTGTGCAACACAACGAGGCAGATAGCGACCGGAAGGACAACTAAACGAATTAATAGCGCATATACACGTGATTGCAGTGGACTCGGTGTGCGCGCAGATCGGGCAGTACGCCTCCAAGGGCTCCTCCAGCTCCGGCTCCATGACCAACTCCAGCTCCGGCTCCTCCTCCTCCTCTTCATCCAGCTCCAGCAGCGACGACGGCACCGTCTGCCCCGACGCGTACCCCGGCGACGGGAACAGCTGCCGCAGCCACGAGCAGTGCAAGCCGACGCCGGGCGGCCTGGCGCTGTGCTGCGAGTACACCTGCTACCACGTCCACAACCTGCCCTGCGTCCGCGACTTCTTCCACCGCGACGACCAGCTCTGCACGGACGCCATGTGGGACAAGCAGTGGCACGACCTCGGCGGCTATCCCAAGGAAGTATAACTACATATCTACTGATATTTTCTTTTAATTAACTCTCTTTCCTTTAGACTCGCTGATATGTACTAAGTACTGCAGTTATTTCTACTGCTACAGATATAAACTGTACTCGGGCGCAACGGCGCATGCATATGTTCCATATTGCCTGTTATTTATAAGGAAGTATATTTTCGTGACCTTTATGTATTTCTACCCTACATTGTTTAAGCACGGCATCAGCACGTTGCAGCCGCTATTCGTAATGTTGTTCATTAGTACCGTTTACGTAATGGTGTGCTGCCAATAAACACATTAAATATGGCTTTTACTACATTCGCAATGATTTCATTCATTCCGTATTGCGCGTATTATGTTATTTCGCTGTCGATTCCTGATTGGTAAGGTCATCCTACTCACTGTTACCTTCACGGTATGGCGTGTATTATTAACTCACTCGATCTAGTTACAATAAAGGCGGGAGCACGAAAGATGCATGTTTTGCTAGAAGTACAGAAAAAACAACGAAAACCCATGTACTGTACATATCTAGCCTTACCGAATTACGTATACAGAGTACAGCAGGTCGCGGATATTACATTTCTCAATTCACATGCGGTCGTATGAGACCTAGAGGAAGACTTCCGTTCCACCAGCGGATTCGATAACGTAATGCCCGAGAGTTAGTGTTGTTGTTGTTGTAATTCTTAACATTACAAAAATGTGATCAAGCTTGGCAGGTGATTCCTGACGCGCTACATGCAATTAGCAAGAAATTCGATACCGTTACAGGCACATTTTGCGAGATGGTTAATTTCTGTCCCCTGGATGACTGGATCGTCATGCACACTAGCTTGAACGGGCTTCGAGAAAGATGGCACGAATACTAAGTACAATAATTATACTACGCTACCGGAGGATGACTGGATATGACATTGTACCGACTGTATAGTATAGTGCGAGTACATATCTACGTTCACCATAAAAAGGAATGACGTTGATTAACGCTTAATATCGTCGCATGGACGGGTTGCGATAAAATGAAATAGCGTTATAGATCTATGCGGCGGCGTTTTATGGTTCTTTTCAAAAGCACCAGGTGAGTTTCCCGCTCCAACACGAAGCTTTCTTTACTTCGAATAATATCTAAATTTTTTATTATGACCGCGACTCTGCGAGTAATAATTGACGGATACTAATATACATATCTGGTACATAATGAACCGACGCCGACGAAGTTAATTGGCTTTATTAATGCCTTATGACAAGGCAGAAACAGAAGAGAAGACTGTATGAGCCGAATATATATTATATAAATATGTACATATATACGCGGTATTCACTTAAAGGTCACACCGCATTAACGGTGGATCGCAGGACCACGAAGGAATAGCTGGCGCGACCGACGTATGCAGGCCGCCTGCCGCGGTGCAGCAGTGACCAAATCACTGTTTTTTTATAATATACAGTAGATTTAACAAAACTGAAACTGAAATTTCGAACGGTTCACATACGTAAGCCAATATATATGCACATAATGTGTACAATACTTGTGGACCGTTTGAGAATTTCAGTTTTTCGCTCGTGCGTCTGCTAAAGAAACTTTACAGCCTATTCCACTGGAAACATCCACATGTCACGAGTACAATACCGGGTCGGAAGTGTTTTGTTTTAATAAATGCGGCAGTATATTTTGTACATAATTGTACGTACGGGCGAATGAATTCGTGTTTAAAATTAATTTTAATATCTTCGATTATGCAGCCACTAATAGCCGGTACCAGTCAATGCAGAACGTAAAATTAGGTACTGTATTTACTTCCTAATAGAAATTGGCAAGAAAATACGCATTTACATATTAGTGCTATCATTGCAATGGTTACTTCTGTAACCACTGCATTAATCAATTTGCGCCGTTAGATTAACGTTATCGAGAGAAAACGGCAGAACGGTGTTTATGAACTGTGCGTGCGGTGTGCGGTAACTAGTGTAGCTGCAGATCTAGAATGCAGACTGCAGCGTTAGCATTGTTGTAGGCGTTTGGTTGTGTTGTGCATTCTTCGGGGAAAACACTTGTTTGTTACTCGAAAGCCCAGCGAACGCCCATTGATGACGACAATTGTGGCGATGGTGGAACAAAGTGCCAATACCGGATACCGATAATTTGTCTAGCTAGTCTGCACGTAACAGTCAGTACTATTGTGCCGGTAGCCGCAGTCGCACCGGCAGCCGCACGCGGCCTGCGACTGCCACGGCCACAGAATGCCGGTCACCGCTACCGGTACGTACTGTACGAGTGGTGAGCCCCGCCAATTGCAGTGTGCAGCAGCGTACGTACGGCGCAGTACGGTACGCCAGCGGTATCAGTTCTTGCGATCAGCGCTGGCATTTGCTGTGCACTCGTACAGCACGCACCGTGTAACCGGGTTGAATGGATATCCTTACAGTAGCGTTATCGCTCGCGGTAATCGGTGGTCACGTTTGCAAGTGGCAAGCGTCAGCGAGTGCAGCCGTTCAAGCACGACAGGTGCCGTGTTGCCGTGTTGCAGTGTGTTACGTTCTGTATCTGCTAACTGGTAAGCCGAAGCCAGCTGAACAAGCAAGGTACGCTACATCTGCCAGATCCAGCGAGCTCTGCGTAGACCGTTTGTTTGTCGAGATTGTTGGCTTGCGCATTAATTAATCGGGAACCCGCGTTTGAAGTTGGAATGGTCCTCCCGCGGAACGACGTCCCGGACGACAGGGACTGGTCGTGGTCAGCTGATTGAGAGCGTCAGCTGTGATTACAGTGGCGAGTTGTGACCCTCCAAAGAATATTTATTATTTTCTCGGCATTTGCCACATTCCTCTTCGTGCCAGCGCGTTGCCCTTCTGATACACGTAAGAAGTAGGTCTCTTCTTAAATTGTGAAGTTATTTACACAGGTACCTTATGAAGACAGATACAACGTGCTTTTTTTGTAAAGTTTTATAATTTATTTATTTTTTGAATATTGTTATTATTTTATTTGCGATTTTTATCAAGAGCTATTTCTTCTTATTTATTTCTTCTTTATTCAAATGACTGTTGTTAGTTGCCGTTGTTGTTGCCCATATGCCGTTGTTAGTGTTTGTTTGTTTGTTTCTTGATATTACGTTATTTACATATTTACCAAGTGCTGCGTGCGGTGTGTCGCCGCGCTGCTATTGGGTTAATTATTTTTCTTTGCATTGATTTTCCTTAACTAATTAAATCGATGCGTACTCGTCGTACGCATCGCTACATCGTTCGTCCTCGTAATCTTCTTACATAATTATTTCCAGTTTTAATACTGTAAAACTAGTGCGTTATTTTCGTACACAGATACCATAATGGCTTGTAAATAACTTAAATAATAAAAGCAAAAAGAAAAATCTTGTGGGATATGCACTGTTTATGCAGTTAAATATGCACGTAAACAATTAACCAGTTGTTTGCGTGTTCGTGTACAGGTACAGGTACAGGAGTCGACGCTGATTGATTAGCCGCGAAAAATCATTATCACGTGCACTGTAATACCTGTGCGTGTACAATCAGGATTATCGGAATTCCTGTATAATTTTTACTAGTACTGGACTGCCTGCATCTGCCGTTCGATCCAGCGGGACCCGCAGCGGAAGTGCCAGCATTCCTTTTATTAATTGTATTTTCCACGGTCGTTGTTGTCGATCACGCGCTCCTTGCGAATCAACAGCGGAAGCAGTGTGCATTGGTTAGCGCCATCGCCATACAAGTACACTGCCCGGCGTTATATAATTGAATAATATTATTCGGATTAAATCACCGGGCTGACCTTTCGGGAATACTTTAAACGACTGGAGGCCGATAGCGTCGATTGGCAGGTGGTTTATCTTATCGGCACAATCTGATTATCCCTTAACATTCACCGCAGGCATTTACGTTCCCAGCGACCGATAACCGCACTGCGCTGATTATCATTTTTCTGTTCCTGCGGATTTGAACTGGCGGCCCATTAACGCACACACCGATAAGGATATCAGCCGTATTAATTTTTACATTGAACGCTGCCACAGCCGGATCGGACGAGGGACGCAACAACACTCCGTGGAAATTCGAATTACGCTTAATTTATTATTACAGCGTACGGCTGAAGCGCTGATACACTATCGGATTATTCCCGCACCGCGTACTGTATTATCGGTAAGTTATCTGGCCTGTTCAGTTGAATCAGAACGGCGTACGGAAACTTTCTAGTTCTTCATTTTTACCGTATGTTTTTACCACCATCGTTTACGCTGAGCATAAGCTTATAGAAAAAGCTACGGAGTATTGAAAGCAATTTAAAAAAAAAATTAAATCCGTGCACAGCCAGACCGATTTTTTAATATACGATCAATTATTTATGATTTGGCTAGTGCGTACTTTATTATAAGAAAACCTGTCTTGTGGCTGTGTAAGAGCAGTCGATGGCCAAACTTGATCTTGAATCTTCGAGCGTGTGGTTTGCCTGTACAGGTGCACGCTCTACCTGATCTCGTCAATCCGCAGCCATCCCTTCACCGGCAAGAGCAGCTGCCGGGATTATCCGCAATAATTGCCGGGGTTAAGCTGTTATAATCACTATATCACACTCACACCGCACCATGATCCTGAACCCGGCCAATCCTACCGCACCGCTGCAGCACGGCGTTAACCAGCCTCCGGCCGGATCGATCGCCTCCGGCTTGCGGCTGCAGCACCTGCACCCGCCGGCACAGTCGCACGTGAACGTGTCATCCCTACCTGCACAGTATCCCTACTATCCCACTGCCAACCAGCAGCAGTCCGCCTTCAGTCACAGCAGCGCCTTCACTTCCGGTGCGCTTCGATCGGGCGTCAGCTGCTGCTGCGGCGCCGCGTCCAAGGTGCCCTGTAGTCTGCACCAGAACGCGCCGATGCCGCCGCCTTCGACGGAGAATTGCCAGACGGCGCACAAGCTGAAGAGTGGACAGTGGCCGACGTTCGGCAATTTTCAGTTGCCGGCCTATCCGCCCATGAACCACTCCCTCCCTAAAGGACCCGCGACGGCCACGGCGGCCCCGGGGGACGGGCGTCCTTCCGCACAAGGCGGGCAGGCACAGGGGCGTCTGCCGCAGCCACAGGTTGGTCTCGTACTTCACTTTTTAAGAAATATGAAATTTTTGAAGTCTCCAGTTTGAATAGCATTTTTTGGAAAACATTATTCGGCTTTAGCAGTATGACAGAGAATCATAAGGTCTAAACTTTTTCAGTTTCCTTTGATTTGGTTAAAAATAAGACCGCCTGAATTTTGGTTTTATATATTCCCGATTTTCTGGTGAGTGTTTAAAAAGGTTGTATTAAGTAGTGGGTCAGTTGGGAATTGGAAGCTGATCAGCTGTTCGATTCGGCCATGTTTGCCGTAGCGTTGAATGCGGCAGTATCGTTGTTGGTACCTAGGAAAATATGAGTACGATTGAATAATAATTCATTATCGATTCGCCGTTATGATTCTACTTCCGGTGCGGCTACAGTACTTAGTTAAACACGTCTCAATACTGGCCGCAGTTGGCACATATATAATCCGCGGCCAACTCGTAGCGACCGTACCGCTGCTCGCTGATCGTATTGACAGAATTCTCCTTCGCGACCGGAAAAACCTGTTCTGATCAAAGGCAGCCCCGACCGCTGGGTCGCGGCAAAATCGTTTTCATCTTCGCGCACTACTGCCAGCTTGCGGTTTCTGGCAGGAGCCCGTTGCTGAATGCTGACGCCAGCAATGTACCGGCTTATTTCCTCGTCGGTTCGCTTTTCGTTTCGTCCTTCGCTGGCGATGCCGCGGTACATGATTAATGGCGGGACTGTTGGCCTTGACTTTGCGCCGGCAGCTCCGCGCGCTGCTTTTACCTGTGCAGACAGCGTTCTTGAATTTAAATGCAATTATTGCCAGATTTTATGGGATAACCGTCGTTTCCGGTTGCCTTAATTATACACAACTGCCAAGAGTTTTGAGTGTTATTATTGATTGATTAGATCTTAATAAACATTAACAGAGTAAAATTATAAAAATACATACTAAATCGTAAAAATGTGAAGAAAATTTTTGTTGTAGGTTATCAATAAAAAATTGAATTAAAATCATTACGGTACGCAACATTTCCGTACGTACAGTGCTTTACGTGCGCAAGGTGCATCAGTACGTATAGGATACGGTAGTTCACGTAAGTACGTACCGGTAGGCGGTGCCCGGCTGCCGGAGAAAAGGTTGATTTGCGGCGTTTTCTCGGTACGCGTGAGTCAACCGGCAGTATGGCGAAAATGTGCCTAGTCAGAGCCGGCTTCGGCTCGGTCCGGCTCTGCCCTGATCCGATTCCGATCAGCAGCCTGCTCGATGATGTCATCCGACAAACCGTTTCTACAGCGTTCTGTGGCTCACGTCAGCCACTCAGCCCGAGCCAGCCAGCCAACCCACTTTTCGCTGTTAGTGTTGTACAACACACAAACTGCTCCGAAATTTTTACTGCTGCATTTTAAACCGTTTAAACGTGCTTTGGAGGAAGATATTTTTTTCCGATTTGCGCATCTTTCTCCTGTCGTTCATTGCGTAGCTTTGTCTTCCGGGGAAACATGGAGTTTTTTCATTTACCCGTGTTAATCAGTCCGTGAGGGTGTAGAAAATGGATTAGAGAACGTAGGATCGCGGGCGGCGTGTGTGTGTGTGAGAAAGGGAGAGTTTGACGACCCCTGTTTGTTTGAGTGGCTGTCAAGGTGCCTTTGAGTCGGAGGCTTGTTTGCCTGGGCCCTCTCTCTCTCTCTCCAGCTGAATCATCCGCGATCGGAATCAGCTGTACTCAGCGTATTATTTTTCCTGCATTCGTTGACCCATCAGTTGATCAGTGCAGTTGCCAGTGTATTCCCAGTGAGCATTAGCCAACCGGTGGTGCAGCAGTAATATTCATCTGAGAATAATCCGGAGGAGAATCTCTTTGTTTATTGTTATCGGTGATAGTTGTTGTGATTGATCGGCTGCCATTGCCCGTGGAGAGTCCTTCGCAATGAGCAGCCCGAGCGGCGTGGATGCCTGGTTCGTGGTGGTGTGCCTGCTTGTAGCCTTCACCAGCCTGACCACCCCCCCTCGCAATGATAAAGCCCCTGTGATCGCCCCCATTCCTTCCACTGTACAGAGTCACTATCTCGCTGATCTCATCAAACCCGCTTCCCTCGACGCTAACGCGGAGGCGCTGTCCCGCTGGTGGAGCCGGCAGTCCTTCTCGGTGGCCTTCAACGGCGAGGTGGCCGTCCTCTCGCCCAAGAACCCGCCCTCCGCCATCCGCCGCAATATGGGGCATTTGGGGGTGGCGGTGACGGTGGGGGGCGCCGCCGCCAGCAGCCAGGCCACTAACGCCTCCAGCGCCTTCAACGCGCAGGCCGAGGCGCTCGGCGATCTCTTCATGGACGAGATGTACCTGCAGAGCAATCTCGAGGTGGACGAGATCACCGCCGTCGCCGGATTCGTCTCCAAAGAGGTCGTGTCGTCGTTTCTCTCATCTTAGGCGTAGGGAATTTTTTCAAATTAAATTTCCCTCGCAGCGTACCGGAATCAGTCGTTATTAGTTAGAAGATTAACTCCTGTAAAGTGTAAACTCCAGTTATATTTTCAAAGATTTATGGCTATAAATGGAAATTAAAATTAATAAATTTAGCTTGTAAATTAAGTAGTAAATATGCTTGAATAACAAATATAAAAATCTCTAGTAGTCAGTTGATTATTGTAATAATAAAATTCGTGTAGAAACAAGCCGAAGTTGATTGCGGGTGAATTGTGCGTATAATATAAAAATCGTGCGTTGTATTGCAGGATTTGGACGTGCAGCGCATCCTGTGGAGCCAGGATGTGGACCTGGGCGTCAGCTTCAACTGGCCGGAGCTGGCCGCCTTCCCGCCGCACAAGGAGGCCGCCGGGCAGACGAAGGATCCGGCCAAAGCCGAGCTGGACCCGTATCTGGTGGCCACGGTGCTGCCGCAGCCGCAGCTGCGGGGATTATCCCGCAACAACTCCACCAACTTCATCGACAGCGAGACAGGTACGCCGTCATTGCCGCTGGTTAGTATCCCGTGCAGCCGATTGCATCATGATGTGTTCGATTAGGTGAGGCGATGCCGCTGTCCAACTCCGTCCGCTCGTTGTGCGCCACGGGCAACGGCACCGCCGACCCCCTGCCCAGCCAGGGCTTGAACCGCACCGGCCAGCCCTTCTGTCCGCCGCTGAACGCCTCGGCCAGCGGCAATTTGACGGCCCTGGAGATGGACATGGAGAACCGCAATCTGCAGAACCTCATCGACGCCCTCAACAACCTCAACGCCTCCACGCTGCAGGTACGCACCGTGCTCGCATGGTTAAAGACGGGAATTATTGACATTTGAAGTCCGTATAATTACCAATAATTTTCTTTTTGTTATTGGCTTCTTTATGTTTATTATTATTACGCCTTGAAGACCGGAAGTCCCTTCGGTTTCTTATATTTTTATTTGGTTTTTTTATGTGCTCTATGCTTTTTAAAGATTTCTTTCATCTGAAAATTACGGCGTTTTTAAATAGTAACTGATTTTCTTATGTTTTTCTTCGTTTTCTAAATGTGAGTGGGGAATTACAGTAGCTGCTAATGTGTTTGTCGTGCAGGCGATCGGCGGACGGGAAGCGGTGGTGCAGGCCAACGCCGCCGAGGACTTCCTGCAGGACATGCAGGCCATCATCAGCGACCGACCGGCGGAGCAGGCCTCCTTCCTGGCCAATCTGACGCTGCCGTTCTTCCGTAAGCATTGACGTTATACATTGTAGTGAGTAGATAAAATGAAAGTTTCTTGTAGGAGAACGCCATCAGAATCAGACGGGCGCGAAGTCCAGCGCGGAGGCCAACGAGCTGGCGGCCTTCAACCTCAGCAGCATCTTCATGGATCCCCCGGCCAACTGGTCGCTGGCGATGAGTCACTTGCAGCAGCAGCCAGCCAAGACTGATACCTATCGCTTTCCGCCCAACCTGGGTGTGAATGATTCAGCGGCGACGCAGTCCAGCGCCAGTGCCCTCCCGCCGCGGCCCCGACTGATGACGAATGGTCAGTGTACTGCATTCTAATTTAATAGTTATTATTCATCCAGTCAGTCGCCAGATAAACATCAAAATTCTACCGTTTCTCGGTCAGCTGCTCCTTTTTTTGAGGAATTGTTTCTTCTGAAGATAGTGAATTTAGTACGTACGTGTAATGTATTTAGTACGTACGAGCAGGCACGCTTTCCACTAATGTAATTAGTTAAAACAGGAACAGCAAGAAGATTATCCAGCATAAGCAATATACAGCTAATTATGTACAATTAATCTGATATTATAATTATTATTAAAATTATTTACAGTGTTTTGTATAGTTATTTTGCAACATAGACTTATAGTGCGGCGACTGCGCTAATTAAACTGCAGAACGTTTGAATGCAAGCTTGATCTTTTTCCTAAACGTATGCTGAATTATTTTGTTGGCGTGGTCTGTAGTCTCTGTACAACACAACAGTAGTTGAACACTGTTACGGCACGCATTGTTATGGATTGCCCGAGGTAAACAGTTTGCGGGCACAATAGAATTAGTGGTGAACTGATGAAGTCATTCACAGTCCGCTTGCGCCACCTATCAGACGTGTACAGTGTACACCGGCAGTGTTTACTGTTTATTAGGGAGACAGTAGCTTTGATTAGCATTAAAGCAGCGTTGATCCAGTAAGAATTGGCATCCACGAGCTAGTTGGCAACTTGGCAGCCGCGTTCGATTTATCAAATTTATACAACTGATATGAATTTACACTGTTGACACTTGACAGGTTCGAAAATCGAACCATTTCTCCTAATAGTACTAGTTGGATGACCTTTTAATAAAGATAATTAGCAGTAAATCAGAAACAGCATTTAGCGTTTAAATTGGCATGATAATTTCGTTCGAATGTATGTTTTATACGCCTTGTTACGATAAGAGAGGAGCGTAATGTTAATTGAACGGCGAAGATGATGGTGGCGGTGTGCTGCGGGTGCAATCAGCGACTGGGCGTCATGTGTCCCTTTGTGTTGACTGCAGTGTGCCAGGAGCGCGTCCCCGGCAGCGGACTGGTGTCGCACGTGTCGGGCGCGGCCAGCGGCGGCAGCATGCTCAGCGCCGCAGTCAACCAGCACGGCGCGACGGGGCAGGCCCGCCCCGGCGCCGGCATCAACCACGAGGGCCCCTTCGACTTCAGCGCCTTCCCCTTCCAGGACGGCGAGCCGCTGCTGCTCTCCGACGCCGGATTCCTCTCGGCCGCCACGCCCATGGACACCCTGTCGCCCAATTTGCAGCAGGTGCCGCAGATGAACGGCGCCGCCTTCCTCGAGCACGCCACGCTCTTCGACTTTGGCAGCGCGTCGTCGGAATGGAACCAGAGTAGTGGGAGTAGTGTGCGCGTCAACGGACTGTCGTCCATGATTTCCGAATCGTCCGATTTTAATATCACGAAGTAAATATCCTCGTTTTATTTATGACTTATTTTGTTAATTTTATTTTTTTTACCTTAACAAGACCTTGTTGATGTTAACCGATCGATTGTTGCAGTTTGGGCGGGTTTTTCCCAGCGGTGAACAGCAGCGGCAACCTGCTGCCGCCGCCGATGAGCAACGCGAGCTCCAACGTGAGCAACGACTGGAAGATGAGCGAGCAGACGCCTGGCACGCTGCCGACGCTGCACAACGCCTCGGCGGAGGTGCTGATGATGCTGGACGAGGCCAAGGTGCGCTTGATGATGGAGGAGGCCGAGAAGCTGGCCAGTTCACCGTTGGCCGGGGCGCCGCCGCCCGCCGCGGCCGAGGACAAGCACGTGGTGCCCGAGATCAAGCAGGAGGACCTGGAGCTCGATCCCTGGACGGAGCACGCCAACTTCGCCGCGCGCCACAATCACTCGTACGCGCGCCATGAACGCACGCTGCAGGTCAGTGGTACTAGCTCACGGAATAAGAATAAAATTATAATAAAATTAAAAACCACGGCATCTGCGATTTGGCTGATATTAAATGATATTATATTTAAAAGTAGATGGAATACGTATGTTGTGCAGATTTATTTGAAATTTTATATTGAATTCTGATTAATAATTTTTAAATATGCTGGGAAATTTGTGGATCAGTTAAATTCCAGTTGAAATGCTGTATTTCGCACGTATTTAATCGCTTTTTGTAAAATATACAAAGTAGAATGAAGTTGTCGTTGGGTTTATTGATTTATTTAAAATGTACCCATTTTGCGGGAATTTTCGGGGGTTTGTTTGCGCTTTTTCTTTGGGTTGCAGTTTGTTTGTTTGAATAATGCGTTTATCGGTAATGCGATATAGCTGGCTTTAGGATAGCCTTTACGAGAGGCACTAAATGTAAAAAGCAGACAATGTGGAGTCGCTCGTTATCGGCGGGGAATCGGTCGTTACGTTTGAGTGTGACCCATCAAAATTAGTGCTGTTTTCAGCGACATGCACTTGGTGTATATTCGCTGATGGCGATTGTGTGTTGCGTGACGTGGCAGTTTGAGCAGCAGCTGCTGTCGAGAGTGCGGCGATAATGCGTGCACTCAGTGACGCGGCAGTTTCCATTCCACACCGACGGCAGCTGATGCAAGCGGCCGTACAATCGCTGTGTTTTCGTATGTTGGGGATTTGATAATCACATTGGCGTTACGTGAGTGGCGGACCGTCCCGGGCGCTTATTTATTACCGCGGATTGTTTTTACGGCGCTGATAGCGAGTCAGTTGTGGCTGCTGTCGCTTTGAGGCCAGCACGTGCGTGGTGGGCGGGGCGACGCGGTGATTGGTTGGTTAGCGGCGCTTTAACCGCAGCAGCCAATCGTGAGCGGGCGCTTGTTGCGCTCGAGCGGGTCCTTGATTTAGTGCTGCATCAGCATTCCAAGCAAACGAGCGTGCAGTTTTTGTCGAGTGCTGTACGCGCCTGTCTCTGTAGGAGAGCTTGGAGTGTGTTACGTGTGCTGCCGTTGCTGTTTCGTACGCAGGCATTCCAGTTTTATTCTTTTTCTCTTTCCCTCGCTAATTATTTTGTTTTACGTGGCGCGAATAACGCGACAATGATGTGAAGCGAGGATTATATGACTGCGATTAAACCGTCTTCCAACTGCAGCTGTCGTAGTGCGGTGGCTCAGGCCACATGTGTATATATGCGTTGCCGCTGAGTGAGGATGCGGGATGGGATGTGTTGTCGTAGCTCAGAGGCTGGGCCGCGTGCTGCGCGGTCCCCAGTGCAGCGCGGATTAGGGATGTCGTTGTGGTATTCAGTTTACGGTCTTCCTGTCGCCGCGTGATCTGATGTCATTATTATCTGCCAATCATTATCTGCTGTATCATTATCTGTACATAGTCGTTTATTGCTCCTTTGATGGTGATCACGGGGGCCCTGCCCAGCCCCGCCGCCAGCGGCCCCTTGCCCCCGGGGGAGGCCGTTCCCCCGTGCCCCGCCGCGGCGCGTTTGCTCAAGCAGGATGACCAGCGGCGCTGCTCCCCGCCGGCGGGGACGGCGCGGTCCGGGGAGGAGGCGGCCGGGGGGTGTAGCGCGGCGGCGGCGGCCGTGGCGCAGCTGGTGGTGTGCCGCAGTCGGCACATCCACTCGGAGCTGGAGCGCGGCGGCGCCACCAACCTGGGACTGATCCTGTCGGCCTTTGAACAGCTGAAGACCGGCCGCCGCGTTGAGTACCAGGTGCTGACGTCGCTGGCCGGACAGGCGCCGGTCCCGGCCAGTGCCGACGCGCGGCCAGTGTTGTCCTTGCTCACGGTGACGGACGCGCCGCTGCGGTCCGCGCCGCCGATGCCGTCGGTGATTCGCTCCAGGGTTGGTTAAGTCACTTAACGGACGACTGAAACGGCCCTTCCGGTTGTAGTAAATGAATGTGGTTATATTTTTTGCCAAAATTAATTGTTTAAATCACGACTGAAACTGCACTTCCGGTTGTAGTAAATGAATGTGGTTATTTTGTGCCAAAATTAATTTAAATCACGACTGAAACTGCACTTCCGGTTGTAGTAAATGAATGTGGTTATTTTGTGCCAAAATTAATTTAAATCACGACTGAAACTGCACTTCCGGTTGTAGTAAATGAATGTGGTTATTTTGTGCCAAAATTAATTTAAATCACGACTGAAACTGCACTTCCGGTTGTAGTAAATGAATGTGGTTATTTTGTGCCAAAATTAATTTAAATCACGACTGAAACTGCACTTCCGGTTGTAGTAAAATAGGTATTTGTGCGATAAAAATTTTGTTAATTTCGGCTGCAACTGAATAACGAGAGCATAGTGGATGTTATGTAAACTGGTGTATTTTGTGCAGAGTCGGGAAAGCAGCGAGGAGATGGGGAGCGCCAGCGCCGCCGAGAGTTCCGGCTCGACGCAGGGGCGCAGTCGCGGCGGCTCGGTGTCGATCACGGGGGAGCTGCGCAGCCGGCCGAACCGCGACGACCGCGCGGCCTCGGAGCTGGGCCTGCCAGTGTCGGCGGAGGAGATCGTCAACATGCCGGTGGAGGAGTTCAACAGCCTCGTCAGCGGCCAGGGCGCCGGGATGGGGCTGAGTCTGGCGCTCAGCCAGGAACAGATCCAGCTCATGAAGGACATCCGCCGCCGCGGCAAGAACAAGGTGGCCGCGCAGAACTGCCGCCGCCGGAAGGTACGCACAGCAACACCCGCAAATTGCTTTAGTGTATTTGTTTTAGTAATAATTTCTTTATAAATTTCAGTAACCCTGTTACATCTTTTCTTAATAATTCTAGCATTTATTGTTATCTGAGTAACGTGGTATTTTTGGACAGATCGACAACATGAGCCACCTGGAGCGGGAGATCTACAACCTGCGGACGGAGCTGTCGCAGGCCACCGCGCGCCGCGACGAAGCCGCCCGCCAGCGGGAGGTGTTCCGCGCGGCGCTGGCCGGGCCCGGGCCCAGCGTCATCCAGAGCAGCAGCAGCCAGGCGCCGCACGCGGGCGGCCAGCAGCACCATCACGCGTCGGTGTTGGTGGCCAACGTGCATGCCAATGCTCAAGCGGACCAGTCCAGCAACAAGCGCGTCGCCCGCGATGCCGCCTCCGACCCGCTGCGCAAACGGAAGAAGGACGCCTGAGCCGATTGATGATTAAATCTTTAATTTTCTTTTTTTTGTTTTCTGGTGGTGAGCGGCGCGTTGTGAGGGACGCGGCAGTGGAAGGGGGCGGGGATAGTTGATTATGCGGATTAGATTCGTTTTACGGTTGGTTTTTTGAAGAGTTTTATTATTTGGCACCGCAGCCGACCCGAACGGGCCGGAAATGGGGATTCAAATTCGTGAGGTGTGCTGACCTTTATGTTTCACGTGTTGCCCTGTTCGGATATGGTGTTGTGTGGTCTTCGCGTTGTACAAATAATTCATCTGGCATTAAAAGGCATTATCACTGCATGGGATGGCGGTAGCGGAGCGGTCAGTAGTGGGTGTTCAGATTGAGCAACATAAGAAGCAACTCAGTGCGCATTTTCCTCGTTAATCATTTGAACTTGACCTGCGTAATACGGAACGCGAAACTACAGTACTTGCAAGTTACACCAGATGAGTTATCGCGAAACAACAGTTCACTGTGCGATCGCGTTTCCTCGTTGTATTTACATAGATATTCGCTGTTTAAAAAACTCTTTCGCCCACTTTTGACCAGTTGAAGTCGCTGTACATACCATTTCCAACAATGCCCACTAGCTTTTTAGTTCCGTCTCCATAGGGTCCGTAAATGTCGAAGGCTGCAGCAACGAAATCGTATCTTGCTTGCATCCAGGCGTGTTTTGCTAGTTTCCCCCTTTCCGCAAGCTGGGCTGCTGCGCCGGCATTCACGGAAGTGCGGTCGACATACGAGGCCGCCAGCGTGTCCACGCAGGTGACATCCACTGCCAACGGTTTTCCGCGCTTCCAAGGAATAAGGGTGATCACATCCGGCCTCTTCTTATCTTTCAGGGATAGACCTTTTGGTTCTATCTTCGAAGGGAAGCCAGCTGATTGCAGGCCCCGGGTGAATTCCGCGCTAATCCCGTCGTGTCGTGGTAAACTTCCGGCAGACCGTTTACAGCGAAGTCCGTGCCGGCCCAACTCGTCGACCAGCCCACCACAAACGCATACGTGTGCCGTGTAGAGTGACGATCGGTGCTCCCAGACGCAGCGCAACACTTATGCGAAAAGCGTTATTATGGAACAGATTACCGAGCCAGGCTGCCGGTAAAGCATGGATCCGCACGCCTGCTTCCGGGACTGATACCGCCTTCAGATGCGCGACTTCCTCCTGTGAAGTTCGTAGTGCGGTCAGCCTTGAAAATGTCTGAAGTGTCGTGGGAGTGTCCCATGCTTTCTGGACGTGCCGGAAAGCCTCCGTACGTCGGAAGTTCGTCAGTGTCGGCCTCTAACTTCCAGGCTCGCGTGACGGTGCAATGACATCCATTGCTGTCAGTGTCGGGCATAATCTGGATAATAAGTTCGTACTCAACTTCGTAGTTACTAGTCAGAACAGCACACTCACACATGATGCACCGCTTAGACAACATTCATCCGCTTATTTACCGCTACTAGAATATGTACATAAAACTTTGTAATTATTTTCCACACCTTATTACAGAGTCACAGGCAAGCTGCCAAGAAAATCAACATCGGGCACATATCATTCCCGATCGGGCAGTCTAAAAGCTAAAAAGACGTCCTCGTTGCTTCTCATATATTGATATCGGTAAATGTTCCGAGCACTGACACAGTGACACTTCACTACATAAATATACCGACATACATAAATATCTATATGCATGCATTTTGAGGTAGCGAAACGTAAATATACATATAACATCATTAACATGTAACATCGTAAATATACACGTATGTATATACGACGATCTCTTATTTTGTTGTTGTCCGATCTACTACTTATTTATGGTTAGCCACTCAATTTTCCTGCGGTATTGTCGAAGTGAGATACCACAATTAAAATATGCACTTAACCTTACGCAAGTAACATGCGCTTTCCAAAACGTCTGGAGAAGCAGTATGCATGAAAGTTGCTGACTTTGTTCAGTTTCAAATTGTCAACTCTGGAAAGCAGCTTATGCCTCGATGAACCTGTGAATTTCTCTGCAATTTCCGCAGTTTTGTTCAGTGCGTAGAGCAGTGGAATGGGCTTCCGTGTCGTCTTAGATGACCTGACGTATAGGACCTGATCGATTACTGTGGTGTAATTACAGATAGCTTGCTGTAAAGGTTCTGAACACCAGGATCGGTCAGAGTCAGACGGTACTGCGCTGTTTTGAAGGACTTCTTCAAGAAACCAGACAAAAAAAAGGGGATATGAACGAAAATGTATCTAGTATGGATCATCTGATTCTGCCGTTCTCTCTCAAATTCCGCTCTCCAGCAACCTTAATTGGTGGTTAATTGAGTAAAATAACTTACGTAGAAACAAAACATGAAAAATGCCGGAAAAACATGAAAACTGTTTTAAAACAAAAAAGTGCCGGTATACATTTTAATAGTTTTATGCTCCCGGTTTGTCGGGGTACACGGGCATTGCGTAAATTAGAAGGAGCGGCTACGTAATTGTGTGTCTACTGTCTAGATTTTTACATCGTCGAACGCTGAGCTTCCACTGCTTGTACGTCCGGAAGACTTGAAGAACAAACGCAACTGACTACTTGTAAAGGAACAGCCCCATAGTATTAGTACAAGTACAGTATACATAGCTCGTGCTGTATATTGCGCTTAGGTGATTGCAGTGCAACGGGCCAACGGCTGCGAATGTGACAGACCGGAAGCCACCCAACAGCAACAGCGTGGGGATGAAGGGTCGAGCGTGCGCGGCGGGGTGGCGGTCAGGCGCGGGGTAAGCGTGCTGTTGCAACGCTAGCGACGCTCCGATTCGATTTGAAGACAGTGACACAAGAGCCGCTGTGAACATACTTATTTGAATCGCGCCTATGTATTCCATAAATTAATTTGTACATACCCTTGTATATACAGTAATAATAATAAAAGAGAAAGTCGCATTATGGTGGCCCTAGAGTGTTGAGTTAGACGCTGTGCGCCTTCCGCTTTCTAATTCCGTATTTTTCTTCTGATCATACTTGTGCTGTAGAGCTCGAGATCGCCGAGCAGTTGTGCAGTCATAATCGTGGACTTCCAAGCAAGTTTTCTTCAGTGTTCAGCTTTGACGGACTCGACGCACTGGACTTTTCTGCATTTACTTCCGATCACACTTACTGTACTAATCTGTATAATCCTGTATATATATCAGTAAATGACGATGAGTATACACAGCCCACAGTACAGTACGGCGTACGCTCAATGGACATGATTATATACAATAATCCACCTATAATATTATTATTACATCTGCGTTTTGTGCACTTTCTGGCTCTCGTATACATCGCAGCGCACTCATGCCTTGTTATACTTCATGATTCATGGTATGTCGAACTGTTTCAAAAGTGCATATTTACCTAATGGGCTTGCCCGGTACATAGCTCCAAATACGTGTACCTCCACGGGAACTTTCGCTGTCGCGCACTCCCAAGCACTTTTTTGCAATGCTTTGTGTTATTTCGTAGTCAGAGGATTTGTTCACGTAGGCGTGAAATCCGTTTTCGCGCGCAACATCTGGTTGCGGAGTTAACAGTATAGGCCCGATCAATCCTAGCTAAACTTCTCGAGAAAGATATCGCGAAATAAAATGTGAAAGTTGTACAAGTTTTTTCGAATTTTAAATAAATTTTAGATTTTTGAATTTTGACACATGCCAGAACACCGGATCGGTGTAAGAACGATCTTCATGGTTACGTCACGGTGCATTTATAATTACGTACAAAATCTGAAGGAGATCGGTCCGTATTGAGACTTTTGGCACTTCTCGTACAATACAATGCAAGTTATACAACTAGAAAAAGCTTGAGTGAAATTTAGTTAAATTAATTGCATTATGTACAAGTACAGTACATGTCAGTACTTGTGTATTTTTAGGCGTAGATCTATATAAGTAAAGTAAGAGTATCTATATATGACGTATAATGTGTGTAGAAAACAATTAATTATCGACAATTAATTGTATTGTTGCAGCTTGCAATGGATTGCAGGCTAGTTGATCCGGGATTTCGACGGCTTTGGGTTGGCGCAGAGGGGATCAGTTACCAAAATACGGTAGCGGTGCGGATATATGCAGGGACGGATGAGTGCTGGTTGGGATACATCCAGGATATTCGCGACGAGCACGTGCTGGTGGACTTTGCCAGCAGCCGGCCCGGGGCGGCTGCCCGCTACATTCACGCGTCACACGTGTGGCCGCTGCCGTGTCTGTCGCCGCATCCGGATCGGCCTTATACGTCGGTATTCGCGGCCCTCCGCGACCGCTACGACGAGCCATTTCGCTTCCGGCCGGCCACTGCCTTGCATTTCGATTGGGAGTGCAAAATGTGCTTCATCAACCTGTCCGCGGCCGGAGCAGATGCAGCAGCGGCGCCTGGTAATGCTAATCAAGCGAGCGAGCGAAGCGAGCGAAGCGTTTTTAATTTAAAATGTGTGACGTGACGAACCGGAGAGCCGGGTTCCCGGGGTCCAGGGGCGAAGCCCCTGGCCGGGGTTTGGGGCGGAGCCCCAATAAGCAGGGGGTGCGGGGGGCGCAGCCCCCCGCTGAAACAATTGAGAAGGTAGTTTAAAATTCAAAACCTAACCCGGTCCTTTTTGACGAACCCGCCATAGTAATGTACGGGGGGTCCGGAAATTTAGACCCGGTGCGGATTTTTTTAGCGACCCCCGGGTGGAGCGTTTTTGGGGAACCGTGACGTAAATTATAACCCGGTCATTATTGACGAACCCGCCGTAGTAATGTATGGGGGGTCCGGAAATTTAGACCCGGGCGGATTTTTTTCGCGACCCCCGGGTGGAGCGGTTTTGGGGAACCGTGACGTAAATTATAACCCGGTCATTATTGACGAACCCGCCGTAGTAATGAATGGGGGGTCCGGAAATTTAGACCCGGTGCGGATTTTTTTAGCGACCCCCGGTTGGAGCGGTTTTGGGGAACCGTGACGTAAATTATAACCCGGTCATTATTGACGAACCCGCCGTAGTAATTACGGGGGGACCGGAAGTTTATACCCGGGGCGGATTTTTTTCGCGACCCCCGGGTGGAGCGGTTTTGGGAAACCGTGACGTAAATTATAACCCGGTCAATATTGACGAACCCGCCGTAGTAATGTAGGGGGGTCCGGAAATTTAAACCCGGGGCGGATTTTTTTAGCGACCCCCGGGTGGAGCGGTTTTGGGGAACCGTGACGTAAATTATAACCCGGTCATTATTGACGAATCCGCCGTAGTAATGTACGGGAGGACCGGAAGTTTAGACCCGGGGCGGATTTTTTTCGCGACCCCCGGGTGGAGCGGTTTTGGGAAACCGTGACGTAAATTATAACCCGGTCAATATTGACGAACCCGCCGTAGTAATGTAGGGGGGTCCGGAAATTTAAACCCGGGGCGGATTTTTTTAGCGACCCCCGGGTGGAGCGGTTTTGGGGAACCGTGACGTAAATTATAACCCGGTCATTATTGACGAACCCGCCGTAGTAATGTACGGGGGGTCCGGAAATTTGGACCCGGGCCGGATTTTTTTAACGACCCCCGGGTGGAGCGGTTTTGGGGAACTGTGACGTTATCTATAACCCTTTCATTATTGACGATCCCGCCGTAGTAATGTACCGGGGGTACGAAAATTTGGACCCAGGGCTGATTTTTTCAGCGACTTCTGGGTGGAGAAGTACTGGGGAACGGTAACGTAAAATATAACCTGGTCATTATTGACGAACTCGCAGTGATATACGGGTGGTCGTAAAATTTGGACCCGGGAATTTTGCCCGCTGTAGGTTGTGGAGTGTTTTATGGTTACGGGTCCCGTAACAGGTAACTTTTACCGTGAAGAGCGCTTGCAAACATTTCTGTTTACTATCAGTAAAATTACCATAACCGCAGTACGTTACCCTAGACGAGGATTACTGTTACTATAACAGATTACTTTTTATGCAACGGGTTGTCATTACCGAATTTCTATAATAATTAATCCTTAGGGTAACGGGTTACCGTTACCGCAACCTGTTTTGTAATGGATTACTATGGCGGGATACTGTCATTGAAACCGTTACCGTAATGGAGTACCGTGCATGTTATTGTCACCGTTGTGGGTTTACGCAACCGTTGCTGCTACCCTTTACATGCTACCCTGCTACCCGAACAATCATTTAATTGTTGCTTAAATAAACTTAATGTAAAAATCCTGAAAAAAGCTAACCTGAAATGGAATTAGAATGACTAACGCTGACTGACGCCGTTATTCATCGAAGATGAACTACAGAAATTCGCGCTCACGAGGCTTGCAAGTTACAAATTTATTTAAAGGAGTACGCTTAGAAAGCGCACATTCGAGAATATTAAACAAAAAAGGATTCTAAGGCTTCTGAGTAATTTTTTGAAATAGTTTTGAAACGTTGCCATAGCAAAACATCTATTTAAGAAACCCAGCGAAGTCAGGAGTCATTACTACCATTACTAACATTAACACTGCATGTGTTACCTGCATTGCCGCTGTTGTTATTCATATTCTGATGGTTCATCGTTGCGCGTTACCGCTACCGGCGTTACCACTCAAACTAAGCGTTATCAGTAATAACTGTTACGTTTGCCAGACTGTAACAATGTACAGTAACTGAGTCTGTTTTTGATAGTGTATCATGTCTCGTTACTGTTGAAACTAAAGGCGTAGCCGAAGGCGACGCCAAAACGTGGCGCTAGCGAGCGCAGCAAAACAAGCGGAGCTGGAAGTAAAACAAAAGGGTTCTATGGTTCTGTTAATCTGAAGGTATGTGACTTTATTGGTCAAATCAAACTTAAGGCAAAATAAAAAAAGAAACAAGAATTACAACAAGAAAATTTCTTTCAGCTTATCAAGGCCTTCCATCGTGCCCAGTGCCCAGCACAGACGCCGCATTACCCCGTTGAACATCTATCGACAAACGCTGACGTTAAAACTCATGCGAGCGTGCTTCGCCGGTTTGCTGCTGAAATCTTTACCCCAGTTCGTTGGCAAATGCGATTGCTGACGGCCCCCACGGGCCCAGGGTTTCAAAGGCGATCGAAGCGAACAGGTAGCGGCCAACCAGGTACAAATTCAATCTGGATTTTTTATCCTCTGCTTGCACGGCGGCCGTTCCCGCTTTGATCGAGTTGGCTTTGACATGTATGGCGCAACCGTGTCTACACATGTCACGTCCCATGCTAGGCACAATCCACGTTTCCAGGCAAATGCCGTGCAGCCGTCCGGACGGCGCTCCGTGGTGTGAGAAGTACCACGAGGCTCCAGTTTTGCAGGCACGCCGGCAGATATACATGCTCGACAAATGATGCTATTTAATCCGCCGTGACGCGGGTGTCTTCCGGCGGAGAAGACACATGACAGCCCATGATGCCCGTAACCATCTACGCGTTTGAGACATTTGACGCAATCATGAGGTTCACAAATCGTGGCGCTAAGGCAAAGACCAACACTGATCATGAGTTCGTCGTCTCCCGGCAGGTTGCCGATGTGGGCGGAAAGTTGTGCGTTTAAACAGATGCCGGCTTCTGGCCTAGACTGGGCAAGCAGGCGTGCTGTGTTGACTTCATCGCCCTCGAACACCTGCAACAAAGTAGAAAGGGAAACGTTACATAAAGGCATGTCTCACGGCTTTCGAGACTTCCGGAACGCGGGTTCGGGAATTTCAACCTGACGGGCTTTCAGTTTCCAGGACTCCACTGCGCCGGCGACGTCGGTAATATCGTGGGTATGGAGCAGCGCGGACAGCAAACCGGAAACAGAATTGAATCGAAGTCAGGAAGGCTGGTAGGGATAATTCTTCTGACCGGCGGATGCCAATTCCATCTCTGCTAACTGGGAGTGTTACTTGACCCCAAGGCGGGAGTCGTTGTCGTTGTGGTCGTTGTGGTTGTGGTTGGTCCGTACGTTCGAGATTTTTCTTGCAGTTTCACTTAAGCTTTTTGTTACTGTAACGATACGGTCGCATAAACCGAAGGCAGAGCCAAAGGCGACGCCGAGCTGCGGCGCGAGCAAGCGCAGCGCAGCGAGCGGAGCAGCAAGTCAAACGAGCGGATTCTATTGTACTGCTGTTCTGAAGAGATTCTCCTTACAGTTCAGGTTAAACTTTTGTTACCGTGATGATACGGAAGTGGAAACCGAAGGCGGAGCCGAAGGCTACGCCGAGCTGTGGCGCGAGCAAGCGCAGCGCAGCGAGCGGAGCAGCAAGTAAAACAAGAAGATTCTATTGTCCTACTATTCCGAAGAGATTCTTCTTACAGTTCAGCTTAACCCTTTTGTTACATGATTATACGGTAGCAAACTACCGTTTCCACCGAAACCGAAGGCAAAGCCAAAGGCGATGCCGAGCTGCGGCGCGAGGGAGCGCAGCATAATGAGCGGAGGAGCAAATAAAACGAAAGGATTCTATTGCTCTTTTATTTAAAAGAGATTCTTCTTATAGTTCCGCTTGAACTTTTGTTACCGTGTTGATACAGAAGTCGAAACCGAAGGCGGAGAAAAAGCTACGCCGAGCTGCGGCGAAAGCAAGCGCAGCGCAGCGAGCAGCAACTAAAACAAAAGCATTCCGTTGTTCTTTTCATTAAAAAATTGTTTTTACGGACGAAATTTCCGTTGTCATTCTGAAATTTGCTAGCAAACTATTGTTTCGAGGAAAACCGAAGGCAAATCCGAGCGGCGCCGCAATTGAAGCATCAAATAGAACAATAGATTTATTTTTTCTATTTCAAAATTTTGTTGCAATCTGCATAGAAATTTAGATATCAATTTTGCAAATGAAACCGAATTATTTGATTGCTTGATCGAAGTTTCTCGCTTTGTGCAACAACACCCTATTTCAAACTTCAAAACAGTCTCATCCATAAAGGTTTGTATAAATCTAAATACATAAGTACAAATAAAATAAACCTCAGTGATTGAGAGTTTTGATTCTTTTGCGGAGAAAAAGAGAGGAGATCAGCGTTAAAGGTCATTACTTTTAAATACACCGGTGTTCACAGAAATTTAATGACGTGGCCTTGCCCTCACCAGAATTGCGTATAATAGGTAACTTTCAACACGGTAAGCAGGATGGTGAAATTCCCCGTTTTTGAAACGACTCTTACCAAAATTCACAAATGTTTAAGACTTTCATAAATTAATGTCGACATATTTTTTTGAAAATTACGCGATTCATGAACTTTATTGTAGACCAAAGATTCTGGCAAGCTTAGTCAAATCAACATCCAAGCACTAAAACACTTTTGCACCAGGTGGAGTTGAGTTAGTACGTCAAGACCAAAAACGACATTGGATTGCTAACCATTGTTTTATGCCTGAAATGGTCACTAGGTTTTCAACACCATGGTAAGTAAATATGAGTTACTCGACCGTTATGTTCCAGAATAAAATCGACCGAATTAAACTGAAAGATATAAAAATAACATGGCACCCTTTACCCAAGAAAGTGATCCAGTTGGGAATCGTTACTGCGTTATTGTTACCTACGTTGCTACTGCCCCCGGACATCGAATAAGCTGTTGAAACGATAAATCGTTTGCGTAATAAATCAAGCCAAACCAAGCTTTACGAAAAACATTTTCGTCTCTAAAACAGAAATCTGCGCCGGCGCTTCTCAGATCCTGTGTGGTTACATCGGCATACGCGGTTTGTGTAAATAAGTGTGCCAATTTATTCGCAGCTAAGACAATCTTTCCGTAAATTTGAAAATACTGAAATTTAAATGGCTTCCATGCGCCTAACAACTTGAAAGCAATGACCGGCATCCTAAAGTAAAGAATTTGGTGCGAAATTGACGGCAATGTGCGGTATGGTATTTATATTAGTAGTGCCGCGTCGCAGTTGCTTGCTTGGTCACATCTGATCATATAGCAGTCCATTTGTATCACCAGCGGGGTCGTTATTATCATTTATATCAGTATTATCATCATTGTCACGGAATGAGATGTCTCGAGGTGGCGGCATGCTCGTATCGCGTTGCGCCGCGTGCGGGAGTATGGAGAGACTACCGCTATCCACCAGTCTGCTAAACTCATGCCAGTCAATCACGCCGACTTTCCACTCAGCATTAAACTATTATAAGTAACCGCTTAAGCTGCTTATCGGCCAAAAAATCGGCTCTACAATGTCGAGCGTAACCGCAAACAATATTTTGGCCAATACACAGATCAGTAATTCCTTAGGCTTAGTTAGCTCATGGTTAGCCATCGTTTATTTTTTTTTCACGCAATTTTCAGCCAACAATAAACCATTTCATCTTACAAAATTCTGAATATAGTTTCTTGGAGCGCATGCACCAGCACGAAGCTCAAATAATATTATACTTTTTTTAACGGAATCAAAAATAGAAAACATTCACAAATATATTGTATCGGCATAATTCCGAAAAACGGCATAAAACTAATGATATCATATCGGCATCGTAGCGGTGGCAAAACTGATTTGAGCAGCTCTGCTCATAAGCCTTCCACAGCATATGAAACAGCTACAAAAAGCGTTTAGACTCTCAACTACTACTGTTGCAGTCTTACCCAACCGCGTCTTTACAAGAAAAAAGTTTACACGCTCGCTCGCTTGCACTAAGGGCGGTTACGACCTTTATACTAGTGCGATTGCCGTTGTCGACTGGTGTCAGATAATGAGCGGACTGCCGTTCGGCGAACCGCCGCTGCTGGCCAGACGGACCGGCCTGCTGTATACGCGCCATGAAATCCTCCTGAATCGGAACATGAACGCCACGACGCAGCGTATCTTCAGTGCATGCACAGCGGCCGACGCGTGCCAGTTGCTGGACAGCTTCCGGCAAGTGTACCGGGTGCAGCCGGCGGCGGCGCTGGCCGGGCGCGGGCCCGGGCCCGGGACGGAGGCGGATGAGGCGGCCATGGAGGAGAGTTGCCGCTTCCATCTGCGCATCGGCCCGGATCCGCATCGGTGCACGTTCATTGTCGTCGGCAGCCAGGCCGACACCGCCCACATGCACCGGACAGCGGCAGCACTGCACAAGATACTGGAGCAGTATGCTGCGTGCCGTGCCGGTCGCTTATCAAGCCACACGACTACGACTGCGTCGCACCAAACTCTTCTCAGTGAACGCTTCGCGCTGTCTGCCGGTGCGTCTGTTTTGCACCAAATTATATTTATACTTATCGTTACATCAGTTATACAGTTCCTATACAGTGGACGACAAAAAGAAGTTGATAAGGCGCGACTAGCTGAACACTGGCTGGCCGATTTCAACTTCGTCCTCCATTGTACGTACAATTCTATACAAATCGTACGAGTATACATACGGTACATGTGCATATGCGTTTCTATACAGTACATAATTTACGAGTAAATATGTACATAAATATATACAGATCCCAGTATGCTATACGGCGTTATTGTTACAATTGTCGTGCACAACAGAAAGAAGAGAGAAACAAACAAATTATCATAGCATGAATTATAGTCTATACTCTGTAGTAGGTGCTGTTCTACAACTGTGAATGGATATACAGATATATACATAGATATTCCGCATGTGCGTGCAAATTGTGAAGAACGAGTACGTACGTTTAGAAAATATCTCTATTATACGATTATATGTCATGATTTACAACCGACGTACACAGAAGAAAACTTACCTCGTGCCTCGTTTGTAATTTGAAGGATATACGCGTTGTATAGGTATCGGAAGCGGAAGCGGAAGTAACGGCAAACGGGTCATGGCTGCCAGTGCCGGCATAACTGGTGCTGCTGAGGCTAGTTTGCGCCGTCTGCCACTTGCACTCTTGACGGAGATCCTGGAAGATTTGGACCTGCATACGCAGGCGCACGCCATACGGTACAGTACAAGGAAGATATTGTAATGTACTGTAGCTACAGCTGAAGTACTGTATGTCTACATTATAAACTACAGTAGAGTACCGTAATAACTTGTATAGTATTTACTTAATTGTAAATTAATTTTTATCTGTCTCTCCATCCTGCAGAGTGTGTGCGTTGTGGCGAGCGATCCTGGGCGATCCGGGCACGACGCAGCACATCAGTGTCCTGACGGACAGTTTACACAGTACTACTACACGCTGCGGTGACCATAGTTACTGCTGTCGCTGCGCGATGCTGCTGAGCCGGGTCATCACGCCCAAAACGCGCAGTCTCAGCCTCATCGCACGCGGCCACGACTGGCCGGGGGAGCCGTTCAACTGGCACATCCTGTGTTATGTGCAGAAGTTATGGAAAGCTATGCGCCTCCAGCTGCCGTTCCTCGTACTGAAGGCCTTCTGCCTGGATTACATGCACCCGGAAATACTATTGGGCTTCGAAGACCATTGTGACCAACTGATCGTCGACGGACTGGAGATGCGCGGGACGCTGTTCAACGACATGCAGACAGCAGTTGAAGGCTGGCCGTTACCGGCTCACGAAATGCCCTTTATTAACGAACCCTGACCCGATTTCAATTTCGATCCCGACTCCCATCCGGCAGCGCATGTCCAGGCACAGCAGCTGTCCATTCTGGATGCAACGCTTATCTGCGTACCCCGGCTGATCTGCCGGTGGCAGCGGGACGGCCGGGAGCACTTCAGCCGGCGCTTCATGTGGGCCATGGACCGGGCCTTTCCCCCGGCCAGCGCCGCCGTGCTGGCCAAAGTGGCGGCTGTACACGCTCGCTGGTGCCACACCTTCGCCTACCCACACCAATGGATCGGCATCCGTTACTTCTTTAGCAGGCAAGTTTTAACGTTCATGTTCAATTATTTATTGTTATATATATACGACCATTTATTGCCAGTAGAGTATATACAATATATCTTATATATATGTATACGTATATACATACTTGATACTTTTATATATTGTATGTATGATTTATTTGCTGCAATTACGTATGGGTTTACTCATAATATTATGCAAAAAACTAGCGGAAAAAACAGTTTGTAAAAACAGTTGTTTTTAGTTGTAAAAAACAATTAAAAAATGTTGTTAACCACATCAGTGCAGCGAGCAAGCGCCATACCACTGGAAAATGGTAGTGGATTTGTGGAACTGAAAAAGCGCGACGTACACTCTTCGGGGCGTTAGACAAACTCCGCTATGGAGCGTGTAGTCTTGGCGAAGGCTTAATTGCATTTGCAGCAACTCGGGCTTCGTGCTCGCTGCAAACAATGTTTAATGGCGCAGTATACGTACGCGTATGATATCTATTGTATATATTAGAGCATACACGCGTCTATATAATTATATAGAAGACAACCTACTGCGTTTCTTTCATGGCAATGTCGCTAGCTGTCTTATGCTTTCCGGCTGCAGGTACAGCGGATTCCAGCCGGATGGCAGTCGGCATGCATACGCATGGGACGATGCCGGCTTGAGAAGTGTCGACATCCGCCAACTCAGCAACATGACACTGTGGGGCATCGCCGAGGTTTACAACGTATAAAAGCGGCTGTAGGGGACGCTGCCTGCTGGGACGCCGTGGCCAGCGCGCACGTGATGGCCATATCTCGGAAAGGCCTGCCGGTGTCGGCCGAGCTGGAGATCGTCAGCATGCCGGTGGCCATGGAGGAGTTCAACTGCCACGTCAGCCGCCAGGGGCAGGGCACCGCGATGGGCCGCAGTCGGACGCTCGGCCAGGAGCAGATCCAGCTCATGAAGGACATTCGCCGTCGCGGCAATTGAACAAGGCGGCCGCGCAGAACTGCCGCCGCCGGAAGGTGGTGATGCAGTGGTACTGACCTTTATGTTTCCGCGCGTGTTGATTGCGCTGATATCGATGGGATACGGTGTTGTGCTGTCTTCGCGTTGTGCAAATCAATTCTTTGGCATTAAAAGGCATTATTACTACTGCACTGGATAGCGGGAGCGGAATAGTTAGTGGGTGTTGAGCAGCTGAATGCACATTTTCATGTATAATAATTTTGAAACATGTACACCATGTGCATATGTGCAACTCGATCGAAAGCACTGTACAGTACTTGCAGATTCACGCTTTACATACAGTATTATCGACCGAAGCGTAGCGAAGGTCATCTATGTTCAGCGAATATGGAAAATCTGGTGTCCGTCCGTCGGTCACTGCCACTAAATGCACATGTGCGCAGTGGCCGTTTCTTTCAAATGCACACATGCGCCGTGGCCGTATATACTCCCGGCCTATGTAACTCGTGGTATCCGTCCGTCGGTCACCGCATATGAAAGTGAATAGATACAGTGGGCGTTTATACTCACGATACATATACAGTAACTTGTCGTGTATGTGCGTTGGTCACCGCCACCAAATGCACATATGGACAGTAGTATTTGTTACTGGATACACACAACTCACAAGCTCCGTGGCCGTTATACTAACGCCCCATGAACTTGGTGGTATCGTCCGTCACCGCACACAAAACGGAAAGGGCCCGGTGGCCGTTTATACACTCACGGCTTGTAATAGCCGTAGTATCATTTCTTTAGTTCCAGTCCCCTTTGGTTCCGGTGCGATATTTACTAACTGTAAAAATTGTCCTTATGCAGATGTTTTCCCAAAAATACTTTAGAATACTTGAGCCGCTCGATGATAAAGCACTACCTCGTACGGAAAAAAGTCACACGAAGCTCCATGTGCGATGTCTGTAATGTGTTACGTGTGCGGCGAAATAAAAAAAAACTACACCCGTTGCCATTTCTGTTACAGACAAAATTTAAAAAGTGTTGTCTAACAGTGCCTTTACGTAATACTGGCACAGCCATTCTCGGGCTCTGTAAAACGTCCGTCGTAATTTGTCCCAATTATGCTATCTAGGTTTTCAAAAATTTGCGACTGACCGGTAGAAATGAGCATCAAAAACTCTTACCAGACTCCCTATTGCCCCCTCACCTGACCATCGTTGAAGAGGCAACCTTCGGCAAGAACGATGAAATGAGAGTTCTGCACCGAAATCGTAATTTTTGAATTGCAATTGCCGTAATCTATTACTTTTACATATAAACATTCAAATTGCCGCCAGCGTTGACAGTGTATCACCAAGATAAAACAAAACATTCATCAAAAAATAATTCTTGTAATAGGAAAATTACTTAGAATGAATGAATTAGAATGAATTCAGCTAAATTATAAATATTAGTGAAAAGTCGCCATGTGTGTGTTGCTTTAGGGAACTTAATAATTTCTGAGATTCGAAATGTGATTCCAGCATGAAGAACTTCACTTTCACAGCTAAGGAAACTGTCCGGGAAAAATTTACGCAGTTGTAGGAGCAACGAGATGTCCGTATCTGTCTGGGCGGTTTTACCGGTTATGGATTTTGCTGTATGTTGTACGGGTTATAGTTTTTGATGCAACATCCATTTTACTAATTTGCTGCAGCTCTGCAGAAGATAAAGTATTGTAAACGGGTTCTAAATATGCTAATAATTGTAAACATCGCATAATGCAGTGGCACTGGAAACGACGACCTAAATATAAATCTATCTTATATTCCTGCTACGCTTCGGTCATGCAGTGCCCGCCAAGAGCGAGTGCACTTTTCTAGTAATTATAGCATCGGCAATAGCCAGTACCACCCGATTAACAAGAAATGCAAGCGCTGGTACACTACTTGCTAGTTAGAATCTAAACATTAAATTGTTAAAGAAAAAACCAAAGTCTCGGCCTTCTCTTGCGTTAAAAAGGTAAACGTACTCAAAAAAGCCGGAGAATTTCCTTTAACAGCTGCTAGACTAAAACGCTGTTGAAGAAAAGCGACCGAAAAAATTTTACGGCCCATGAAATGCAACAGGGCAAACACTTCCTTACAGATACACAATAAAATAGCTTTGCAGCGGCTGCTGATGCGGCAGCCGCCCAAGACGTGGGCGGCCGTGCGCTACGGGAGGGGGGGGGGGCGGTCAGCCGGATGCCGAAGCGCAGCTGCCGCCCGCGGTCCGTCTATTTGCAGGTAGCTGTCGCCGAGTGGGAGGGCGCAGGGCGACGCGGCGACCACCGATGAGCGTCGTGGCGAAATATTTCAACCGCGCCTGTCAATAAATTCAAAATTAGCATGAGTTGCTTTATGTAGAATCGAGACGTTGCAAATAATGTGCAATTCGAAAAGTGTCTAACGGAAGCAGCTTTGGAGTCCTGGTTACAGCAGACGCAGTGCGAAACCCCACCAGATTTTATTCGGAAATTTCAATACGAGGACATTTGGGTGCTGTGAACATACCCTGCACGATTAGGCTGCGATGAACAGCCGGCTAAATTAATGGCAGTCGATTGCCTCAACCGTGTATGCCATCCTGGGCGGCTGGCAAACCAGCCCGTAATGTTACGAAATTGGTCGCATCCACGGATTTTAAACAGATTTTCTCCATAGACTGGTATGCTAACTTCAGATGCGTGTCATTCTTGATTTTGAAAATGAAACTGTTCAAGTCATATACCAAACGGCAGAAAATTAATTTTCACGATTTTTGACACCAAACAAGTTGCAGTTTATGGCGTGAAAGACAAGTTATAGCTGTTTGAAGTTTCTCGTAGACACAGCATAGAATCGCCGCGTGGGACCCTTGATCGTGAATTGTATGCTAAGTCTACGAGAAAACTAAAATGGCTGTAACTTGTTTCATTTGCCACAAACCACAACTTCTTTGGTCTCAAAAATCGTGAAAATTAATTTTCTGTCGTTTGGTATATGACTTGAACAGTTTCATTTTCAAAATCAAGAATGACACGCATCTGAAGTTAGCATGCCAGTCTATGGAGAAAATCTGTTTAAAATCCGTGGATGCGACCAATTTCGTAACATTACGGGCTGGTTTGCCAGCCGCCCAGGATGGCATACACGGTTGAGGCAATCGACTGCCATTAATTTAGCCGGCTGTTCATCGCAGCCTAATCGTGCAGGGTATGTTCACAGCACCCAAATGTCCTCGTACGCGTGGGATGCGCCAATGATTGAGCGGGACATTTCCATGTTGATGTCGAGTACAGAAGGAAACGAACGTAACAGGGCTGTGTTGCTGGCTGCACTAAGCAAAGACTCGGGAGCCTGGTTGAATGCGTTGCCTGCTCCATGTCTGGGAACATTCCTTAGAGATGATGATGTCCGAATCGGTGTCGCATTGCGGTTTGGATTGCCAGTGGTAGTGGCGCACAACTGTATTGCATGCGGCAAGCAAGTGGAAACTAACGGACACCACGGGTTGTCCTGCAATAAGTCAACCAAAGGACGATGGGCGCGGCACCAAGAAATGAACAGTATTGCTAAAAATTGTTGCGAAAGCGCCGGTTTTCCCTGTCAACTAGAACCGACCGGCTTATCGAACAAGGACGGAAAAAGACCCGACGGGATGACGCTGATTCCAGTCCGCCATGGCAAACCACTGGTGTGGGATGTAACCAGTTGGTGCACGGTCGCAGACTCTCATGTCACCGGCAGCTCGAGGAAAGCTGGATACGTGGCTCAGCTCGCAGAGAATGCCAAGCGCCGGACA